ACTCACTGAAGCCGGAGTCCCCCAAGGCGCTGTACTCTCCCCACTTCTCTTTCCTTTCTTTCTACATGACTTACCATCTTCGAATGACATTAATTTTGTCAAATACGCTGACGATCTGTCTGTATCTTTGCCTGTCAAATGTCAAAGCGACTGCTCTAAACTTAATGGCTTTCTGTCAGAAATCAGCCAGTGGTCCAAGGAAAACGGTCTTACCTTTAACCCCTCCAAATATTAAACAGTCAATTTCACCTTTAGGCATAAATCAGACCTATAAAAACTGGTTGGCTCTCACGAGGTATGCAACATAGACGGCACTGAAATAGAAACCAAGTCGGAAATTAAATACCTAGGCGTCATTCTATCTGCTGATCTCTCCTGGTCGTCTCATATCTTAGCGATTTCTAAGAAAATATTCCGTCTTACATTCTACATTAAGAAGTTAAAACATTCTGGTATAACCTAACCCGTACTCCTACAATTCGTTAATTCTCGCATCCAGCCTATTATTCTCTATTGTTCCCCCTTAGTTTTTCCCGGGCTACTGAAGAAAGACTATAACATTTTACGCAGGATGTTAAATGTTGTTAGCAGGGTAAGCAACGTGCCACTTAACCAGCTTGTTAATATTCTGGTTGACAGGCACATGGACTCATGTGAAAAATGGGCCAAATCCATTTTATATAACTCACACCACCCTCTTCACTCACAACTCTTCCCCTGCATCTCATCAGGCAAAACCAGAAGCCAATATAGAAAACTATATGCTCGCACCAGCAAGTACAAAAACTCAACCATACCCTACTTAGCTCGTGTTCTGTGTGATAAAGAAAGCATTAGGCGTGACACCTATAATTCATTAAATAGTCAGTAGTACAACTGGATCTCGTCTTTCCAACTCACATCATCAATAGGTACAACATTTTCTTTCTTTCTTTTCCTTTTCTCTCTCTTCTTTTTCCGTTATGTGCTGCTTTGTTTCTTTCTCTCGCTTACGCCAGTTAATAAGACAGCTCCCACTTTTCTAACACCTTCAAACACTGTTCAGCTTTAACTTTGCTACCGACATGCCAATGTGTTGTTGTAATAATGAACTGAGATTTCCTTAATCTATGTAGAATTCTATTTATTGATAATGTACTAACTGGATGCAATACTGTAGTAAAATGCTGAGAATTCCATTCTGTATCACATGTATTGTTTTGGAATAAAGCAAATTATTATTATTATTCTAACCCCTAATTGCACAATCAGTGTCAATCTTCTCAGTAATTATGATGCTTCTTTGTCTAAGCTTTATCCGTCCCCCCTGTTTATTATGGGATTTTAGTTCCTAATTGTCATTTTATTAATTTGACCGTCAACCAGAAATTATTCTGGAACTTTCCCATCCATTTGTCATAAATACACGAATGTACAGCTATCTAGTTGACGATGACTTTGTCGAAAAGAAAATTTTCTTCAGAGGAGATCGAAAAAATTGTAACTGGTGGTGGAGGTGAACATTAGTCAGTCTTAACTAAGGTTACGTAATAGAAAAGACGCTCGGAAAAAATAGGATGTTATTATGAAAGAGCATTCAGAGAAGTTTCTAAAATAAGGTGGCCTACTAAAACCCTTAGATTACTGAAAGCCCCCATCAAGATATTCCTCTTTTTTCTGCTTTTACGTTTCCAGAGGAACATAGGTCTCCAAGCTAGAGCTTCGAAGTTTCGGTAGCAGTGGTATTTATTTTTACGGGACGGGGTTTCTAGCCTCATGCCCAAGCTTATCTCTTTTTACCAGTCTTATTACTGGCTTAGCAAGGTTTAAGACTGCGTCGGTCGGGGATCGAACCCCGAACCACATTAAGCGTGTTTGGTGAGTATGCTACCGCTGTACAACCGACGCAAATTTTTATACAGTTTCTTCAGTTCACTCAGCTTAAATCTAGTAGAATGAGATGTTTCATATTGTTGTTTACACTGGCGAGTATTTAAAACATTTACAATCTGCTGGTTTGCAGACTTCTGCTAAACGATGAGAAGAAGCATTACCCAGCTGGATGGCAGCTTATCCTAATACATGAGATGAGAGTTCCTCAGTAGTGTCCCTCGTTCACAAAATGTACTTCTGAACTTTTTATAGTTGGCATTCAACATAATTTTGTCGTGTATTTCTCGAAGGAGGCAAAGAAGATATATTATCATAATGATAGATTGGTTTGCACTTCGGGTAAGATAAAACAGTGTCACACGATCTATTGCTGGTCAGTTAAGGGGCAGGTTGTCTGTTTTCTCCATTAAATCACTTCAAAAACTCAACAAATCAATTAAACTTATTATGAAAAAAGGCAGACATCCTAATACTTACAGGGAGAAAAATCAATGTTTATACCTCCTTTAAACTGGTTTATTAAGGGTGTTTAGGGTGTATCCTAAATTTTATGGAAGCCATAGCTGATATTATTATTATTATCTTCTTTAATTCCTAGAGGAACATAGGGCTTCAGTCGCACGTCTCCATTGCGACGTTCGGTTCTACGCCAACGTTTTTATCTCCTCTTCACATGACCTCCTCCCCTTTCATGTCACCCTCGCATTGACGACCGACCAACTTGCTGTTTCTTATTCGGGTTCCACTCGAGCGATGGCCTGGCGTGTGATTTCACTTCATTGCGGTTTGTTTTCTCAGAATATGGCCAGTCCACCTCCATTTTTTCCCGCATATTTACGACACAACTGGTTCCTTCAAGGTACATAAGGAAGCCATAGCTTATATATGTATATATAATCATGTATATGTATCAGAACCATAGACAAGGATCCAGTTGAGAAGTAAAACGTGCACTTGCGGGAGCATGTACATTGGAAGGACAGAAAGAAAGGCTTCTATCCGGTTTTCTGAACATATTCCAAGAAACCTGTGCCCGAAAGGAAGCCAGTATTCTCAGAGTGCAACTACCAGACATATTGTTGATACCGGATATCTCGTAGAGATTTCTAAATCCTTCAAAATATTAAATAGACAAATGACAGCAAATTTACTACGATTTGCCGAAGCGATCTCAATCAAACGATTTAAACCAGACTTATGCATTAATTAGTCACCTAATTCAGTGATCTCAACTCACTGAACAAATCTTAATCTCATAAACTGTAACCGCTTTTAATTTTGAGTTGCTATGTGAACAAGCTACAAGCTAACACTGTTTTGTTAATTAATTTCTTCTGCTTTCTGTCTCACCCCTCCCCCCCTCTTTTCCACTTTAAAAGAGTATAAATTTATGATGAAAACTTAAACTAAAAGTCGTAATGCTTACATTTTGGATAGTACTTCTCTACTTACTACCACTTAAACATTAAAGTATTTTATTGTCACTCTATATAACCATTGTAATTTCAGGTAGTGTTGTGCAGTTGATGAGAACCTGTGAAATAGAATGACGATATCATTTTATACTGCAAATTTCGTCTTCTTTTCTTTATCGAAAAGTAGAATATTTCTTCACTCAATCCTTTTATCTACTCAACATCTAAATAGGGATTTTTGTTATTACATTATGGGTAAATTTTGTTTTGATAAAGTCTCACAGTGTTATAAAGTAATGCTTACTGTTGACCACGTTTCGAGCACAATTTATTGCTAATAATCATATCAAGGTAATCACACAACTTCCTCAATTCATTTATATAGTTCCATTGTTTTTTAGTTGATTTGATTGGTAGTAATATTTTCCATATTTTGGGTATGAGTGATGAGTCATTCCTATTGCATGTGTTGGGTGTAGATTCGATGAACAAGGATCCAGTAATCAATCTCTCTCTCCACCTAACTATATTACTTTTTAGAATATTAACCTTCTCCCACCCTATTGTGTGGTTGTGTGCTAATGCATTCGTTTTATTTACATAAAACGAATAGAAGAAGGCAAACTACACACTAATGTTTATAGAAAACCAACGCATTCTGCTAATAGATATTTAGACTTTAATTCATCTCATCCTTTAACTGTTAAGGCAGGCTTAGTTAAGTGGTCAACAAACAGACCAATGGCACTAAGTAGCACAAAAAAAGACCTAAATGATGAAATAAAACAGATAGAGGAAGAGGCGTTGGTGTTAAATAACTATCCTTGAAAATTCATTAGGAAGATCAGTAAAGGCCAAAAGAAAAAAAAGAATTGTGAAACTAGTAATAATAACATAAATAAGAGAGAATATAAGTCATCTGCAGTTATATCATATAAAGAGGGGACATCTGAGACCCTACGTAGGATTCTAAATAAAGCAGGAATTAGGGTAGCATTCAAACCTACAAACTCACTGAGGCACGACAAGCTCTGTAGGTAAAAGTACCCAGTTGACCCAATTAGACAAAATAATATAATTTACGAAATACCCTGCAATGACTGTGAGGTCAACTACATAGGTCAAACTAGTAGGTCAGGAGTAGTCAGATTGTCAGAACATAAGAATTTAGCTAAGCGAAGAATGGTTGACCCCGAGAAGATAAGTAATTTAGAAAAAAGCTCAGCAATTGTAATGCATGCGTTAGCACACAACTACACAATAGCATGGTGGGAGAGGGTTAAAATTCTAAAACGTAATATGGCTATGCAGAGAGAGGTTGATTACCGAATCCTTGTTCATCGAATCTACACCCAACACATGCAATAGGAATGATTCATAACTCATACCCGAAATATGGAAAATATTACTACCAATCAAATCAAGTGAAAATCAAGTGAAAAACAATGGAACTATATAAATGAATTTAAGAAGTCGTGTGATTAGCTTGATATGAATATGAGCAGTAATAAATTGTGCTCGAAACGTCATCAGTAAACATTACTGTATAACGCTGTGGGACTTTATCAAAACAAAATTTACCCATAATGGAATTACACTCTTCCACAGTGCACAAGTTTTATTCTTATATCAGGGATTTTTGTTAGATCTGACTTTTACCTCTTTCATTGAAGTGAATTACCCCTCATTCTATTTTTTTTTCTAAAAAATCAGATGGTGATTATGGTTCATTAGATGGTAAAACTACAGGTGATGTTGATGTCATTTACTTGTCCAAAGATAAAATTAAATGTAGTTATTTATATCCAAGTATAGCAAAACAAGTGAATGGTTATTGGAATGGTAAAATTATTGAGGGTATATCAGTTTTAGTCAAAGTATCAAGAAATGCATCAGACATATACTTTCTTCCACCACGTTCAAATGGTTTCGATTATTTAGGATCAGTACGAGTTCAATGTTCTTTAATTCAACAAAAATCTCGGAAAACACTATTAACCTATTATAGATGGATAAATGTTATACGTAAGTATTCAATAATTCATTCATTTTTAATGTGTAAATGTTTTTTACCTCTGTAGATGCATGATCGTATGCGTGTGTTTGTGTGCATGTGATTAAATCTTCCTAAAACTTAAACAAATCCCTACAGCATCATGCATTCAGAGACAACAGTGGACTTGATGACGCCACTACTGGAGAAGGTGTGGAATGAGGGCAAGGTACCCGAGGATTGGAAGAAAGGATACTTATTCAAACTGTCAAAGAAAGGAGAAGTCATGTATTGATCAAAACCGCCACACTACGGATCATCATTGAACAAAGCTTGGAATGTCAGTCACCTCTCTATTCCAACTTCATCGACTTTTTAAAAAGCCCTCAACAGACAGCGTCGATCGAGAGGTGATTTGGCAAAACTACTTCGCTACTACGGCGTGCCGCCAACAATTATACATCTCATCCAAGAGTTGTACGACAATGCTGAATGCCAAGTAATCCACAACGGGAAACTTACGGTATCCTTCGAAGTAAGGACAGGAGTAAGACAAGCTGGCTGCCTACTATCGCCAATGATTTTCCTGATTGCAGTAAATTGGATAATGCGACAAACAGCGGGCAATGAGGAAACAGGCATAAAATGCACCCACACAAAATGTTTGAGGATCTGGACTTCGCCGATGATATATGTCTGATTTCCCACAAACTGGAAGACATGCAAGCGAAAAGCAACAAGTTGAGAGAAGAAGTATCAAAGATAGTACTTCAGGTGAACGTAGAGAAAACAGAGGTGATGAAGATGCTTGGCCAACACTACCAACAGCAACAACAACAACAGACACCAATCAGCATAAATGGGAGGAACCTGAAAGAAACAACCCCCTATACCTACCCACCTACATGGGAAGCATCGTTTCAACTACAGGCGAACGGAACTGACGAGGATATCAAAGCAAGAATCGGGAAAGCAAGACAAGCTTCCACTACTCTCAAGCCTGTGTGGAGGAAAACAGCACTCACCATGAAAACGAAAATAAGATCCGGATTTTCAACTCCAATGTGAAGTCAATGCTACTTACTATACGGATCAGAGACTTGGCGCGTCATACAGAGCACCTCAAACAAACTACAGACCTTCATTAACAGTTGTCTTCGCTCAATACTACTCAAGATCAAATGGCCGGCCAGAAAGATCAGCAACAGAGATCCCTGGCGATGAGCGAACCAACCAGGAACCGATTGTGAAGCAAATAGGCAGGAATAAATGGAGATGCATTGGCCATACTTTGAGGAAACCATCAAGTGAGTGACATCACACGCCAGGCCATCGCTCGAGTGGAACCCGAATGGGAAGCGGCGAGTTAGTTGATCGTCAGTGAGAGGGTGATATTGAGTAGGAAGTCATGTGAAGAGGAGATGAAAGTATGTGGGCAGACTTGGAGCCATATGAAGACGTTGACAGAGAACCGAACGCAATGGAGACGTGCAACTGATGCTCTATGTTCCTCTAGGAACTAAAGGAAGTAATAACAATAATAATAATAATAAAGTCTAACTTGGGCATTTTATACTATTATTAATAATGTTCTCTTTTTTCAAATTTATTTCTAATTTTTGCAGTTAAAGACAATCCAGTTGCATTGAATGTATACACTGAAAAGGATACCTATTTTTATACTGGTTCATCTACAAGAGGTAGTTGTTATGCTTCTTCACTCGATGAATCATCCACTGATGATACATATTGGAAAGTAGATATAATCAATGGGGATAGCGATATAATTGCTATTGATGATGATAATAATAATTATACCGAACCACTATTTAGACCACCATTTGATAAAACAGTCTATGAAAAAGTTGGTCATGTTGAAGTACAATGTACACTGCTCAATAAAACAAATAATACTCTGGTTTATTCTGCTATAAAAAATATTTATATTATAGGTAGGATATTTTTCTTTCTTTAATAAATGTGCTTTTTACAAGTGAAGACATTCAGCGAAGAGACTCTTTTCGGCGAATTCATTCACATAGCTGTACAATCGCATTTATATATAAATATTTATGTGTGTGTGTGTACATGAGGTTTGTCAAGTTTAGATAATTGATTAGTTAATACAAGAATGATGTAGTATAGAGACAAAGTTAATCAGACAGCAACTAAAGTAAGACTGAGTTAAAAAACTAGATGACGTAATATAATTGGCTAAAATGTTACAACTTAGGTCAGGATAGCAACAGAGGTAGTTACAGGTAGAGATTAAGTAGAAGTGAAATTGAGTAAATAAGTTGGATGACGTAACATGAATGAGCGTTGTTCAAGTCAGTAACAGTGGTAGTGGAGTGTAGAGATTGAATCGGGTGGGGGTAGAGGACAAGAAAGTTGAAAATGTAAAATGTTACAATTGAGAAGACAAAATAATACTAATGAATAGACAGAAGAAAAGATTAGGTAGAATTTATATGTCGGCTAATAAGATAGATTACGTCCATTGCAAGTGTAGTGATTGAACGAACTTCTTCTGTATGCAGAGTTCAGGACTTAGCAAGTGAATCGCCATTGCTTCTGCAGTTTGAAGAAGTCTGATTCGTACACCTTTAGGGAGACTACTTCTTACTCTGTAGACGACTTTGAAGTTTGTTTGCGGTGTAGCTTGGTGTCCAGATTCTATCAGATGTTCTAAGATGGAACTGCGGGGGCATCGATTTTCTCCTTTGTAAAACCATGCTGGTAAGTGCTCGGTGATACGTTTGGAAAGCGAGCGCTGGGTACGGCCGACATACCTGGCTCCACACGAGCAGGTGAATTGATAAATGCACATTGATGAGGCCAGCAGCGGTAGCTTATCCTTCACGTTCACATGAATCATAGGTTTTGTGGAGAAGGTTAGTCGTAGTTCAGCTGCGAAGAAGGTCTTCTTAAGTGAGCGCGACAGTCGATTTTTTAGTGTTTCCGCAGATAGATCTCCATTGAATTGGAGGTTCATGTAGAGTAGTTTTTTCTTGTTCTCTACCCCCACCCGATTCAATCTCTACACTCCACTACCACTGTTACTGACTTGAACAACGCTCATTCATGTTACGTCATCCAACTTATTTACTCAATTTCACTTCTACTTAATCTCTACCTGTAACTACCTCTGTTGCTATCCTGACCTAAGTTGTAACATTTTAGCCAATTATATTACGTCATCTAGTTTTTTAACTCAGTCTTACTTTAGTTGCTGTCTGATTAACTTTGTCTCTATACTACATCATTCTTGTATTAACTAATCAATTATCTAAACTTGACAAACCTCATGTACACACACACACATAAATATTTATATATAAATGCGATTGTACAGCTATGTGAATGAATTCGCCGAAAAGAGTCTCTTCGCTGAATGTCTTCTCTTTTTCATATATGACTCAATGGGGATTTTCAATCTACTTTTTACAAGTGTTTGTTTGTAGGGATATGACTTATTTAAAGCAATTTAGTTCCTTTTGATGAATTTCAGACAAGACGATAAGACAAAGTGGTTTATCTGAAACGTGTGTAATGTAGTGTGTATTTGCGCAAGACATTTCGGACATTCTGATCACACACACACACACGCACACCAGTACTTGTCATACACCGTTTTTTAGAAGGCAAGAAAGCATGAATCAATACAATACAGGTCAGATTGTGTACAGGTCAAGGTCACAAATAACTGAGTAGGGAGATGATGCAGAGGTGTGAGTAGGACAGAAAGAAACATAGGTGAGGTGGGGTTTACTGCTGATTACAGGATTTTCGTCATGAACTGTCATTAGTTAGAGAACCATTGGAAAACCTGCGAGTACTGGACAGCTGTATATACATGAACGCACCCATCGGGGTTCGAACCCAGAACCTTCTGGTTACAAGGCGAGCTCGTATACAATTAAGCCACTAGGACGCGATCCAATGGCCCATGAATTCTAACTTCTGCCAATTCATGACATAGCGCGACCCCTAGCTAATGTCTTCGGCGAGTATTTGTCCTCACACCCGACCTGCTGCACCCTACTGGTCACGACTTCTCACTAGAACCCCAGGTAACTACCTACCTGAATAGGGCAAGTCAGTAGTGAGCATCTCATTGATATTTAAGTGTTGGTTTGTAGGGATTTGATTGGTTACAGGATTTTCATCATGAGCATAAAGAGTCCCAAACTAGGACGAAGCAGCTGTCCAGTACTCCCAGGTTTTCCAATGGTTCTCTAACTAATGACAGTTTTCAAGTGTTTTTAAAAGGCAAGAAGGCATGAATTAATACAATATAGGTAAGACTGTGTACAGGTCAAGGTCACAAATAATGGGTAGGGAGATGACGCAAAGGTGTGGATAAGAAAGAAAGAAACCTGAGTGAGGTGGGGCTTCCTGCTGATTGTTTCCAGACATCTAATGACAACAATTAAGTAAACTTTGGTGAAACAATAGGAAGATGTAATTAATCTGGACTGTGTAGTGTGCATGTACAGCACATTTTGAACAATCTGACAACACTGGTACTTCTTTTGAGAATTTAAATGAAAATAATAAAGAGTTTCGAAGGGGTGATAAAACAGACTTAAGTCAAGTTCAAAGGACATACTGAAGGTCAAAATAACACTGGAGATCACTTAACCCAAGAAGGAAGGTAACAGTACATCTATCCTGGCTAGCATCAAAACAAAGTTTGCCAAAGAAGATTCAATGTAATAAGCAATTGTTACTTTCAACGCATAATAGTGGTTTAAACTTCCTAATAACCAGTTAGGGACTTCACAAACTTTAGGATACTCTCCGAACACGTTTTATAGACAAGTTCTAAAGGCGTATAAATATCAATTTTATATCCAATCTCTATGATGTGTTTTGCAATAAAATAGCTAAGTCGTCTGTCCTCACTATTAATGTGCTCAGGTGATTTCAATAGCTTCTGAGGCCATTTAAGAATATACTTTGAAGCCAGCCCCTACTTGAGAAGGTCGATGAGTTCTCCTGGTGTGTGTGTCTCTGGCCACGCGTATATTTAAATTGGTAGAAACACTGGGTTGTGATATCATTTTTCGTGCCCATTGAGTGCTTTGGTGGATATATGGGCTTCATATTCTCAATTATTCTAATCTGATATGATCTGATCTGCATAAAAAGTCCTCTTAACTTGAGCTTTCAACTTATGTCTAGTTGCAAAGCTGCTATGATCACCCATGTGGGGTAGGTCGATCGATATAAACGTCTTTCTCAACAGAGGGTTAGAGCATGGTTGCATCTCTGCGTTCTGACCACTTTATAATCCGATATAAGTAGTATATCAGAAACGAGTTCAGAAAAGTAACAATATGTTTTGCACACGGGAAAGAGCAATCAAAGAAGAGAACCATAAGAAGAATGTTGCCATATGATGCAGAATCCAAGAGGCTATGGAATGTGACGATATTCGACCAATTTGTCAAGGATGTGGTAAACGATGTGCTAATAGCAGTTTGAAAATATGGTATACGAAATTTACCTCCCTCGGTCTTTTCTTCTTCACAATATCACCTTATAAACTTCTCTATATAATTATTATCAACCAGAGTTTGTGTCAAGAAGACCTGGATTTCGCGGATGATTTATGTTTGATGTCACACAAAATCGAAGACTTACAAGCGAAAACCGAAAAACTGGTCGAAGAAGCAGCAAAGACAGGACTCCAGGTGAACATAGACAAGACGGAGGTTATGAAAATAACCAACCAACAACAGCAGCAGCAACATCCAGCGCCAATCACCATCAACGGGAGGGATTTGAAAGAGGTTACTTCATTCACTTATCTACGGAGCATTGTCTCAACTACACTACAGCAGGAACGGACGAGGATGTCAAATCGAGAATCGGGAAGGCGAGAAACACATTCATCAACCTGAAACCAATCTGGAAATCTTCGTCACTCAACATCAACAACAAAATGATTCGGATTTTCATTACAAACGTCAAGTCAGTCAGTTATTCTATACGGATGAGAAACTTGGCGGATCACAAGGAATATTTCCAACAGCCTGTTGCAGACCTTTATCAACAACTGTCTTCGTTCTATACTGAAGATCAGATGGCCGGAAAGAATCACCAACAAGAAACTATGAGAACAAACAAAACAAGAACCAATTGCTTAACAAATATTCAGGAGGAAGTGGAGATGGATTGGACACTCGCTGAGGAGGCCGCTGGGTGACATCGCGCGTCAGGCCATTGCTCGAGTGGAACCCGGAAGGGAAGCGCCGAGTGGGACGTCCAAGGGTGATATAGAGGAGATTGTGTGAAGAGGAGTTGAAACAGTACGAACTAACATAGATGCAGGTGAAAAGTACAGCAGAAGAGAGAAGCAAGTGGAGACGTGCAGCTGAAGCCCTATGTTCCACTAGGAACCCAAGGGAACAATGATAATAATAATATAATAGAGTTTGTGTCAAATTTGTCTTCTGTATATATATTCGTTGGATTCTAGGTTACATTTTGCTTTCATTTCCTTTCTCCCTTTCTCTCTCTCTCTTAACAAAAACTAAAGCTACACATAGAAAAGGAACACTCAACGGTATTGATGAATCAAATATCACTGTAGAAGTGAACTCAAATAAAACATTTGAATGTGGAATTCTACCTAAAGAGGATAATAATAATTCAACAACACTACAACAATATTGGCGTGGTAGAATAGTTAGCAGCAGTACTACTAATAAAGAAGATATTGTACACTTAGATATGAGTACTGGTAAAGTGATTATTAGACCACCAAAACAACAAGATACCTACAGGAAAACAGGTCAAGTTGTCATTGAATGCCTTATGAAGTATACATTAAATGAAATTGAATTTGGATTCAATAAAACTTTCAGTGTAATCGGTGAGTATATACATATATATATATATGATAGAGAAGATTTGTAGCTCAGGTGGATGATTTTGATTTGCTTGTGTTCTCTGAGCTGGATGGTTAATTTGCGAAGCTTTCATCACCCTACTAGGTGACATCTTCAGCGCATACTTCAATTTGTGGAAGTGAGCTTTTAGATTTCTCCACGAGTTTATTAATCATCTCTCCTGGTGACCTTGGACGTGATTGGTTGTTTTTGTGTGTTTTCACACCTCCTAGGTTACTTGTATTGTCACTCATTGTTTCTTTTACTTGAACTTTGACCCTTTGATTACAGGGGAATTAGAAACTCAAGTCTATAGAAAATCAACTCACACAGACCAAATCCTGAATTACAACAGAAACAATCCAATAGCACACAAGAGGAATTGCATACAAACACCATTCAAGAGAGCCAGGACTCATTGCAGCACTCCCACCTCAAGGAAAATTGAAGAAAAATATCTCATGGATGTCTTCCAAAAGAATGGATATCCACGGAATTTCATCAAAAGACATATACCCCCGAGCTAACCTATCAAACCAAAAGCTTCCAAGGAAAGCACAAAGAAAGTCACCCTACCATATATAAAGGATATCTCAGAAATCATTGCAAGACTCATCAAACCTTTAGGAATTGACGTCGCACACAAACTAACAAAATCACTTCACTCATTTTTATGTCAACCAAAAGACTCAACAGCGAAAGAAGATAAAACCAACATCATCTACAAAATAGATTGTATCAACTGCGAAAAACACTACATTGGACAAAGTGGACGTCCCCTTCGTCTTCATATCCACGAACATAAGCTAGCTGTCGAAAGACATGATATCCACTCCCTCATATCACTACATACAGACAACCACGGGCATCAATTCGACTGGGACAACGTTCAAATATTAGACAGAGGAAACAACAAGAATGCTAGAGAATTTTTAGAAGCTTGGTATTCCAATGAATCATCAATCAATAGACACATCGAGATAGACAAAATTTATCAACCGATAAGAAAGAATAGTCACACACAAAGGGTGAAAGTTCAAGTAAAAGAAACAATGAGTGACAATACAAGTAACCTAGAAGGTGTGAAAACACACAAAAACAACCAATCAAGTCCAAGGTCACCAGGAGAGATGATTAATAAACTCGTGGAGAAATCTGAAAGCTCACTTCAACGAATTGAAGTATGCGCTGAAGATGTCACCTAGTAGGGTGATGAAAGCTTCGCAAATTAACCATCCAGCTCAGAGAACACAACCACATCAAAAACACATATATATATGTGTATAATACATTCATTCTGAACAAACGTTTATAGAATGTGCGTCGGTGGCACAGTCGTTAGGACTCTCGCCAACCATGCACATGGTACGGGGTTCGATCCCCGGCCACTGACGCACATCTGATATCAATGGCCAGTCTGCAAAATTTGGCCGACCGATATCACATTGCTGAGAATTCTATATGACTTGGCTACCAGAGTTTCCATGCATCAAAATACTGCCTTAACTCTTCTACATTTCTTAATTTTTATATTGGGTAATTATATTAAATGATCACTACATGAACTGGAGCGAATATTTAATTTAACTTCCAACTAAACACTATGTAATTCCTGAAGAAAATGAAAGGAAAATTTGAAGGATTGGTTTTTCGACCTGGTATCTGCAGCCAAATTATGTACACCTTATCTTCAAGGCACCATTTGCACAAATCTTCGTGTTTTGGTACTTCTAGACGTCATCAGTAAATATTACTGTATAACACTGTGAGACTCTATCAAAATAAAATTTACCCATAATGGAATTACACTCTACCACAGTGCCCAAGTTTTATTCTTATATCAATGATACTTCTAGACTTCATTTTGTGTTTCTTTGTGTTCTTTTTAACGTTTCCCTTATATATCTCTACAACGCTATATCATTTTCCTTCTCTGAAATTAAATGTATCTCCCTGCTATTTGGTGTTTTTATGCCAATAAACGTCTCTTTATATATTACTGATAAATCTAATCAGTAGCACTCGCCACAATGTAAATTTCGTATGAAGAGGAAGTATTTCCGAACTAAATTCGCCGAGAATTTCTGTACTATATACTCATACGCTGTCTGAAATAAAGCTTTGTTATTATTATTATGAAAAGCAGATCGCAATTATCATGGGAATCTTAAGTAGTATAAGTATTTAGACATCTGCAGACGGACTTTATATGCCTGGTCTTACCACATTTATGACAATTAGCATTTCTACAGTTAGAAGTAACGGCATCCCCCATAAGCTATGGTGTTGCTATCGACACTTGAGCACAATACTAGACAGGGCATTTTGGTCCCGTAAAGTCAGTCGACAAGAAATTCAAAATAATAACTTTAACAAATAACTACTCATACCCGTTGTATGTAAAGTAGCTGTCATGGCCCAGTAGCCTCGTAGACAGAGCTTTATTATTTGAAAAGGGTGGGGTCAATGCGTTTAGGTTTAATTAGGAATGCCATCATTCATCAGCAATGCACTTGACGAGCTTCAAACAGGACGAAAAGTGGCTGCTCCGTTGCTAATCACTACCAACAACACACACACAACACTTCTTACTCCAGACGTTTTAGGATTTCGCAACAAAGGAATTTATAACAGTATTTTTTTTCTCAAGATTCATTTATTCCTTATTGTTTTGTCTCACATGAAGTATTCATAAATAAACACATGTATCTATGAATAATGCCTTTATTTTTAGATATAAATATGAAAGGAACTCTTAATGGTATTGATGAATTCAATGTGACAACTTCAATCGGTTCACACGATACATTTAAATGTGGCACATTACCAACAAATGCTGAACGGAATTATGATGCCTATTGGATAGCAAAAGTAGTCGACGGTAATGCAGATAATGCAGAATCATTGATATTTTTAAGTTCATGCAGTCAAACGGTTAATATTCAACCAAAATATGCTAGTTATGGCTATCATGAAACTGGTCACGTGACAATTGAATGCACATTGATCGAGAGAAGTAGCGAAAGAGTAATTCTTTCGTTTACTAGAACTTTAGAGATCATTGGTAAGTTATCATAATACTACTTGTAAGATCACTTTAATTCCCATCCTTAAATCAAGTCAACCTGTCCCAGATCAGCCTAGCGTTGTTGCAACCCAATTATCCATGCCTAACATGTCTATCCCACCTTGTTTAATGAACTGTGTGTGTGTGTTTTTACTTCGATCCGTTTAGTCAGACAGTTGAACTCATGACCCAATCAGAGTATTTTGTGAACTGTTATTTTTGCTGACCCATGTCTTACTTTGTACTATTCTGTCGAGTTTATCTTATTTATTGATTGGTTAAGTAGCCAATTAAATTCTTTGTGCCTATGCTCTCTCTACCTCTTACTTGGGTTCATTCTTACCTGGACGGTCGTGTCTGATCCGGCTAGTTCGTAATTTTGGCTTTAACGTTATTCCGCTCTGATAGCGGTACCTTGCGTTCTGTTAAGCGTTGTGCTTTATACTCTTGAAACCGTTAAGGTTTGTTGTATATATAATGATTGATTTGTTTATTAATAGTACCGTAGAAACAGTGACCGGCTTCTTGTTTGTTCTGGACCGGGATAGCCTTTATCTACGCGTGACTTAATAATATCAAGCGATATTGCGCTTACACTACTACTACTTCTAATAGTAATAATAATAATGCTTGTTTTGATAGTGAAACAATGACCAGATTTTCACTATAAAATGACATCATCATTCTATTTCACATGCTCTCATCAGCTGACTGCAAACTACCTGAAATTATAATGGTTATAAATAATAACATTTCATACTTCAATGTTTGACAGGTAATAGTGTAACAACAGAAGACAAGGGCCAGGTCACAGATCGTTTATTTAGGAAATCAACAGATATTTATAGATATTCATGTACATTATTATAAATTATTGTAAGCAAACAAACACAGTCTTCTATTTGGTGGTTGTCTCTCGCTGAAAGTTAATCTTTCATCTCTTTGTAGCCGTTTCTTGAAGTTCACATTATCTATCTGCAAATTGTATCTGCCTCCGCAAACAAAGTCTGCTGTGAATGGTTGTTGAATCAGTCTTGGTTCTTATTTTTCTCATGACCAATATTGGGGACGTAAACATTGAAGTAAATTACTGTCTACCAATTTGGACAGCAGACAGCTCTCACCACAATAGAGAAAACACTATGAGATGAAGGCATCCGGAATATAAGTATTACAATTTTTAGTATAAAATAGCTTCTGTCTTATAAGCTATAAACGGGGATTAATAAGGCCACTCACTGTACAACAGAGCCAGGAAGTTATTGTCGCCTAACAACGTAGAAGAAGAATTAAGTTTTGTTGAAAAATGCCTTAGGGGAGAAAGGGTATCCAAAGGGATTTATCCTAAAGTACAGCAGAGAAACAAATGAGAAAGAGAAGTATCCAACAGTTAAAAAGATGAAAGTGTTCATTTGCTTCCCATTCAAAGGAGAAGCAGTATCACAAAAGGATTTACAAGAGGATGACAGGAGTAATAAAAAGAGGCTTTCCTGCAATTAAGTTGGTTACACTATACAGCACTACATACTCTATAAGCCAATTGAAAACTAGATAAGTACCTTGTTGAGGTTACCTCCAACTGCATTTATAAATTTACGTGCACTTGCGGGAGCAATTACATTTGAAGGACAGAAAGAAGGGCCTCTATCCAGTTTTCAGAGCGTATACCAAGAAACGAATGCCTGGGAGGAAGCAGATAGTTACAAAGTGCACTTACCAGGCAACTTGTGGATACCTCGGGTCATTTTGTCGAGATTTCAAAATATTAAACATACAAAGGACAGCGAATCTACTACGATTTACTGCTGAAGCAATTGCAATCAAACGTTTCAGACCAAACTTATGCACACACAAAGAGAGTGTAATCAATCTCTCACTCCTCTGGTAACCATATCACTTTCATTACACTGATTACTCATACACACTAGTGGGCTCAACTCACGAAGCAAGTTTTCAAATTGATGAACTTTGACCTTGTTGAGTTGCCATGTTGGCACTGTTTATTAGATTTTTCTGTTTTCTGTCAACCCCTTTTTTCCATAGTTTGACAGTATATAAATTGATGGTAACTTAAACTAAAAATTGTAATACTTATATTCCGGATGCGTTCATCTTATAATGTTTTCTCTATTACCTTTCAAACATTGAAGTATGAAATGTTATTATTTATAACCATTATAATTTCAGGTAGTGGTTTGCAGTCAGTTGATGAGAACCTGTGAAATAGAATGACGTTATCATTTTTATGCTGAAAATCTGATCTTTCTTTCTCTATCTAAATGTATCAAAGGAACCAAATGCAAGAGATGATCACTGTTCTTATCATTCTTCTTTTTTGGGATTCCTAATGAGATATATGTGGTTTTAGAGAAGCATCTTGCATTCGGTTTCCTGCTGTCAAATTTCAACTAACTATACGACTGCTATTCACCCTCCACCAAACATTCGTTCATTTAGTAGCTCCTTATTCGAGTTCCATTAGACAACGTGTGTCTAATGTCCCTTGAAGGTGTCTACTCAGTATATATCCAGTTCACCTCCATTTCCTTCTGTACATTTCGTAGGGAATAGGGTATAATTAACCAAAACTGATTAAAAATTGGGGAGAATAAAAGAGTTAGTTAGCTATTTTGCTAATGACATACTGAACATTATCTCTATTGAATACTACACGGAGCAAATAGGATATCGTTGAGTTTCCGTACTTGGTTATACGAGCAAATAATCTCCTATAATGGCTTCTAGTTTTGCTACCTGATAGGATGCAAGGCGGGGAGAGATGAGTACAGAAAGGGTGTTAAGAGACAGGCAATATGGATTTAGACCAATTCTCGTATGAGTCCAGGTATCTATGGACTAGAGCAGTAACAAGCTAATTAAGTGGCATACCACTTCTCCTACTGACAACCTTTGAAACCCCTCACAATATGACATAGTCCTATTTAAAGTAGCCCAGGAAAGAATAAAGAGGTGGGGAGAAGCAGTAAAGTTTAATACGTAAAATGCAAGAGTGGACGAACTGTGAAGGCAGAGACTAAAGGGGTTTTTGATTGTCTTAACTTCCTGATGTAGAAAGGGGTTAAGTGGAACATTTTCTTAGAAATGGACAATGGTATGGGATGACTAACCAAGAGAGGTCCGAAAATGGAAGTATTCCAAGGTATTTTATGCTTGACTTAGTTTCAACTTTAGTACCGTCTACGTTACAAGCATCGTGTGAACGAACCACTTCTCAGTGATAAATAATCTACGTCAGTTCTCTGTATTGGAAATTACTTTAAACGATTGTTTTTGTACCATCTGTTCACTTAGTACATAAACAGCCTGTATATCTTAGTGGACACTAGTAACTAGTGTGACGTGTCTAGTCCTTTGTTTGGTGCAGACTGAATTATATCAGTCAGGTTTGTAATGTGGCCACCACTCTAGGTAGCTCGCCATCACGGTGCACATTGATTTGATGATATTAGATGGTTGGAGGCAATCAGCAGGAAGCCAAGCTGCACCTAGGTTTCGTGCCAGTTGGCAGTCATCAGCAAGGCTTAACTGCAACCTTGAAGGAACTCATGTCCCTTCTGACATTCGAACCCACGTCACCCAGTGCTGCAGTCAAAGACGTAACCACTGAGCTATTCGGGCTCGTGACCCCTTCAAGGTTGCAGATACGCCTTGCTGATGAGTGCCAACTAACACAAAACCAAGGTCTAAGGCTTCCCGCCGATTGCCTCCAACCATCTGATACTGTTTATTTTTTTTCATATGGTGATTCCCAGTACTCATTACGGTGGAATGGCCATCTTTGTTAACAGTTGAATCTCCTCGGTCAGCTAGTAGACTGTTGTACGAGTAGTTCAGAAGTCACTGGTTCGAATCCTACCTTAAGGACAAATACTCACCTCACCGAGAACACTACCCAGTTGTCACACTACATCAAGAATTGACAGAAGTTAAAATTCACGGATTGGCCATTGAGGAGTTGGCTGTCAATGGCTGAATGGTCTACGAGCTCGCCCACCTTGTAACCTGGGTTCGAACCCTGACAATGGGGTGGGTACACACATGTCTGAAGAGTCTCAAACAAACTCGACGAAGTAGCTGGCTATCTAATAGTTGAATGATGGTTTTCCAGTGGTTCTCTAACCGATATCAATCAGCTCATAATGAAATCCTGTAACCAATCAAATCTTTTTTGCAAACCATCTCATCCTTGAATACGAAAATTCTCATTTCGCCTTTAACCATCATCATTTTTTTTTGTCTAAACATTTTAGCCTGTGGTATGGATGGAACACTGAATGGAGTGAATACACTAGATTTATACTGGTCTATTGGTACAAATAAAACAGCAGAATGTGGATTATTACCTAACCGTTTAGTGAAACAGTTAAATGGTTATTGGGAAGTAGAAATACTAACAGGATTAAATGATTTAATCAGTCTGCGCTCTCATGAAAATAGAACAATTATAACACCACCAAAAGATTATCAAGTATATTATAACGTTGGTGAAACAGAAGTCAGATGCATTCTAAAGAATTATGAGGATAAACGTACAGTCTTTGAGTTTACTAAAAAGGTGACAATAACTGGTAAGTTATATTGTGTTTACATATGTATGCTTATATTTTTTTTATATTTATGATGTAAGGCGTACAATTGTTTTAATAATAATAATTTGCTTTATTCCAGAAACAGTACTAGTGGTACAGTGTGGAATTTTCAGCACATATCTACAATATTTGCATCTAATTTTATCAAACATTTAAAAGGAGTATTTTCAAGAAAAAAATAAATATAAAGACACCAACAGCAAAAAAAGAACAACAGGAAAAACACGAAATAATTTTTTTTAAATGCGAAAAAATATCAAGAAGTAGAAAGGAAAATAAACATCATATAATGATAACTCAGTATAGGGTAGTGGAAGCAATGATATGATTATGCATGGTGACAGTAAAGCTATAGTCATACAAGAAGTTATGAAGTGATATTTAAGAAAGTTTATCGCCAAGTTGATCAGTTAATTTAATTGAACAACACTAAACAATCATAAAATAACATTTCAGGGTTTTTTTATCAGGTCTAATGCGGTGTTTGTAGTGGTAGTGTGAGTAATCCTGCATAATACAAAATTTTTCAACGTGGTGACAATGGCGTTCGCAACCAATGATTGTCAGTTTAATATGGCCGAAAAAAATAAAAAAAATAAGAAAAAACAACCACAAAACTAATAATTACGTGATGGTTAATGACAGGACAATTTTGTACTACTCATAGTGCTAATATAGTCGGAACCAGTAGATACACAAAAAAAAGAATAGAGTAAAGTACAAAAAGTAAGCCAATGTTAATAATTTAGGTAGCTAAGTATGTTTAAGAAGGAGTTCACTATAGAATACAAAATTAGAGAGAAATAAAAGAGCCTAAAATTATGTCGTTAATAACAGAGCAAGTCATAAGTCTCACGCTTAACATTGTCTCTGTCACTTAGAACACGGGCCAAATATGGTATCGTTTGAGTTCCTGTACTTGGTTGTACGAGCATAGATTATTTTATACTGATTTCTGGTTCTACTTGATGAGATACAAGGCGAGAGTTGGGAATAGAGGGGGTGATGGGGGTCGGAGAGTATGGTTTTTGACCACTTTTCGCATGTATTCAGATGCCTATCAACTAAAGTAGTGACGAGCTGACTGGGTTTTACACCACTGGTCCAACTAACTACCTTCAGCATCCTTCTCACGATGGTATAGTCCTTTTTCAGTAGACCAGGAAAGACTAACGGGGAGCAGTAAAGTAGAATAGGCAAGATACAAGAGTTGACAAATTGTGAAAGTAGAGGTTGGGTGATTCCAGATTGTCTAAGTTTTCTAATGTAGTAGGTTAGACAGAACACTTTCTTAGAAATCGTTAGGATATGAGATGTCCAAGTAAGGTCGGAAGATAGAACTAGACTGAGGTATTTCGCATTAGACTTAGTTTCAATTTTAGTCTCCTCAATGCAACAGGCTTCATGAGAACTTACTAGTCGTTCGGCTACAGAGGCAAAGACAATTGATGAGGTTGACAGTTCACGTTGATTCATTGATGTCTAGGACTTGTGTAACGCACGCTGACCCAGTTAAGAGGGCTCCAACACTGGCACAATGCACAAATTCTTTCACTGTCTGTTTCAGACATCTGAGATGAGAAGGTGTATATCTGTGGTGTGCTTTGCATTCTGAGAAGCAATGTTGTTTGGAGAATTTCGGTGATGCAGCTCATAATTATTATTTTTCCATTATCCTGATTTATTTATCTCTTATCATCTTCTTGATTCTGAAAATCCTTATTGTTCTTTACTTAATTCTTCTTTTTCCTGTACATTTTTCGACCATTATGATTTCATTTATTTTCCCTTTACTTTTCTTTTATGTTCATTTTTTCGAGGTATGGTAACTTGGACTGCTAGGCAAATTGTGCAAAGCTGTTCAGACTTGATTTAACAATAAATGGTGTCCTTCATCCTACTGGTACTTTTATTATTATTATTAATATTATTATTATATATCCGATTGTACAGCTTGATTTTAAATTTGTTGAAAAGAGCCTTTCCGCTGAATACTGTGTTCTTAATACTACAATGTAAAATTATTAAATTATCGCTATACAGCTAAATTATGTACACTTTATCTTCAAAGTACCATTTGCACGGTTCTTCGTGTTGTGGTACATCTTGACTTCATGTTGTGTTTCTTTGTGCTTTTAATACGTCTCCAATATATCTCCACAACTTTGTATCATTTGCCTTGCCTGAAATCAAATGCATCTTCCTGCTATTTGATGCTTTTATGCTGATGGATGCGTCTTTTTATACTACTGATAAATGTAATCAGTAACAGTCGCCACAGTGTTCTTGCAGTTTACCATCAATCTGGTTAGAATCCTGAAGTGACATTCAGTCATTACCCACTTATTACATCAATGGTGACGTGCTTTTTCCGAAGACTATCAAGTGTTTTCGCCATTGAATAAAGTTTTATTACGCTAATGTAAGACGGTGGAAGAATCGCAGGAACTTCGGTGGACAGTTATTTCACGAATTAAGTTACCTCGACGATTATTCTTTTAATTTCTCAAAATTTTTGAAGGTTAAGTAGACAAACTGTTAGTGTCAGTCACTAATGCTGTTTGGACATTACGAATGATTGACTTAAAGAGATTCTTGGGTCCTCAATTCAACTTTATGAACTATTTTTCTAACTACTTATACTGTTTCAGTAGTATAAATTGCTTTAATGTTTTTTTGCAACCATCTTTTAGATTGTGAAATTGATGGTACATTGAATGGGATAGATAATTCAAATATTGATTTACATTTTTATTCTAATGAACAATTTGCCTGTGGTATATTACCAAAGCATATTGAAAAGTTAATTAATGGTTATTGGACAGGTCGAATTATCAGAGGTAGAAAAGAGATGATATCATTGGAGATAGTTAATCACAGTGTAATCATTACACCGCCTAGTGGATATAAAACCTATTTACTCACTGGTTTCGTTGAAATTGAATGTATATATAAGGATTTTAAAAACAACAGGGAATTTTATAAATTCAGTAAATATATCAATGTATTCCGTAAGTTTACAAAGAGTTTTATTTGAAATTTGTGTTGAATGTTAGTGATCTGTGTTTTACATGGTTCTCTAACTGATATCGATTCGTGATCAAACTTGAATTTGAACCAAAATCCTTACAAATTAACTCATGAAAATCAGTTTGGTGCCCATTAGTGACTGGCTGGCTTCAGGAGGATGAAATCACTTGGAGTTCTAATGAGAAGTCATGACCAGTGGGTTCCACTGGGTCGGACGTGAGAACAATTGCTCGCCAAAGATGACATTGGCTGATGGTCTCACCAAAGTCACGAAATGGTAGAGGCTAAGACTCAGTGGTCCTTGAATCGGGTTCCAGTGATTGAATAATCTACGGGTTTTCCTTGTAACTGTCAGGTCCTGGATTTGAACCTCAGTGAAGTGGGCGTGTACTGATGAGGTCTCCCACACTAGGCCGACGAAATAGCTTTCCAGTAATCCAGTGCCTGTTTCCAATGGTTCTCTAACTGATATCAATCTATGGTTAAACTTGAAAGTAGGTAAGCAAAACAAAGTGTTTAGCAAAAATTGGATCAGTTCCAAGGCTGCTGTACCACTTACCAGCACAAAAAGTAAAGAAGAAACGTACTGATCACTACTGATAAGATAGTCTAAAATGAAGTCTATTAATTATTCTGATGTGACCAATAATACGGCGTAGTAGACTGCAGTAAATAAGAACCTAATCTGCTGACGAAAACTGCTACTCTAATCACACCAATGATAACGTCGAACACCACCCCCACAACCAGCACAAGAACAATGCTACCGGCACGAGAAACTAAGTAGTGAAGACGGACCACTGGCATGAGATCTTTTTCTGTTTCCAACAACAGGGAAAACACTTGACAGAGATGCTTGATTTGTAGGTTTTAAATGTCCTTGACAATTAATAGGTTAAGAACACAATATTCAGTGAAGAGACTCTTTTCAACGAATTTATTATCAAGCTGTACAATCGTATATACATATGGTCTTTATAAAAATTATATCCGCTGAGGGAATTAGGTCAAAGGTATGAATACATGAAATAATAATAGTATGAAATGCAATTAAAATATTTGTGATTATAATAATAGTTTAATGTCAAGTGGCAAAATAATTAATGTCAAATATAGAATAATACATAAGGTGTATAGATTTTGGAAAGGGGTACATAATTATAAGATTAGTAGACGAATATAAAATGTTACATAACATGGTGTGAAATTTGATATGATAGAATTCAATATCGTAAAAATAAAAATATAAAAATTAATAATTTTGGATTTAGAATGAAAAGTGGGACAAGTGGAAAACAATTCAGAGTGAGAATAGTAATGATAATAATGATAATGATAATAATCGTAGTAATAAGCGAAAGGTACATAGAATAACTAAATAAACAAAATAAATGAATGTCTATCCCTCTACAGCCAAGGCAGAAGTAGGGATTCTACATACTTCTTTTGTACACAAAGGTTTGGCTTAAAGTCATGAATTGCCAAATGTTATGCAACATTTTATATTCGTCTACTAATCTTATAATTATGTACCCCTTTCCAAAATCTATACACCTTATGCATTATTCTATATTTGACATTAATTATTTTGCCACTTGACATTAAACTATTATTATAATCACAAATATTTTAATTGCATTTCATACTATTATTATTTCATGTATTCATACCTTTAACCTAATTCCCTCACCGGATATAATTTCTTTAAAAAACCATATGTATATACGATTGTACAGCTTGATAATAAATTCGTTGAAAAGAGTCTCTTCACTGAATATTGTGTTCTTAATGCTACAATGGGAATTATTGAATAATTAATAGGTTCACTAACAAGAATAAGGAGTTATCACCCAATGACAGTCCAGCCTTCAGAAACGATGGGAAAAATAAAAAGTGTCAGGAATGCATGATGATTGCAAAATGCAGTTATCTTAAAGTCATTTTCCCAAAGTTTATTTGTAGAGATTTGGTTTGTTTTCAATTTTGATTATGGATTGATATCAGTTAAAAAAAACAGTGAAAACCAGCTGGGAGTACTGGACAACTGTTTCGTCAGTCTAGTTTAGGAGTGAGGACGAATACTCTCCAGCAATGACATTGGCTGATGCCAGTCCCGTTGAAATCCCAAACTGGTAGAAGTTAGAATTCGTGGGCTGGTCACTGAGTCAGATCCCAGTAGCTGACAGGTCTATGAGCTCATCTTGTAACCGGAAGGTCCTGTGTTGAAACGCTGGTAGTGGATGAGTACTGCTGATGAGACCCAAACTAGGCTGATGAAACAGCTGGCTGTCCAGTACTCCAGTACTTGTTTCCAATGATTCTTTCTTCAAATGACATCACTCTGTGACCAAACTTAAGGTTATTTGTTGAAAACTAGACAAAATTAGAGGTATATAACACTAATTATAGGATATTTTGTCTGAGTTATGATAACTAACTATCATAATTAATCCATGTGTATTCACCGCCAAAAAGTTCCATAGAAATACCAAAGATTAAAGCGTCCCGAATTGCATACTGACTTCTTCTACCTAGATAGGATGAAACAGGGGAAAGGGGTACAGAGGATTGCAGTGTCGTTTAACCTAATGATCAAAGATTCATTGATCAGATGACTAATCAACTTGTAGAGCATCCGATGTGGTTAGTAATTTGTTGGTGAGTATTCACTTGGGTCTTTAATCCTAGCCCGAAGCTATTCAGTAATCAGTATTTATGATTCCACTATGGCTAGAACACGGAACAGCTGATTTTGAGTTGATGAACTGCCAGAACACTTAAAGAAATTCTGAGTTCAGTAATTATTTTCCTACAGTTTTTCAGAACTTGAAATATTCAATATATTAACCTGGATAAAGTAGTCTGCGGTTCTAGTGATAAGTTGTGAGTTCCACGAAGTCGAGTGTGAGGACAAATACTCAGAGCACAGATGTACACCAGTTCCAGTCCCTGCCCCCTTGTTTGTAGCACACACAAAGCAAGAAAAGAGAGTAAGGAGAGATAATAAACAGAAGTGTGGGGGAAAAAAAACAATACTGTGGAAGAACAATACAGTCCTATTGGCTGTGACTGATAAATCACGAAGAGTGAGAACATCTGCTATAACACTGACAACGACTATTTTGAGCCATATGATCACCCAGTAGTCTCTAGCCACCGTCACTGATTCTTACTATCCCGAGGACTCCAACCAGTCTGGCAGCCTACAACTTCCTGCGTAGCTGGCTTAATCTGACTGATATGGCTTTGAGTGACTGATGAAGCCATGTTTTGCTTTGACCACCACTAGCTCTTTTCCAACCTGACTGATCCCATGTCAGTGACCAACATTTCCTGTTGGGGAATAGGTATAGGCATACGTAACATATGTCCTAACTGCCGATGTGACTTCACAACCTCATCGATTCGTTTTCTCTCCTGCTTACCTAGCACTCGACCGAAGCCTAACCTCAATATTACTCACCTTATTAAACCACCGTCTAACATGGGAGATAGAATGCAGACACCTATGATGAAAGACAGCCAGCCAGCCGGATATCACGTCTACTAAGCCACCAGCGATGGCGTAGGTTGGTTAGCGAATTCCAAATGAGCCTTCTATATCCGTACTGAGATTTCGTCAGCAATCAACTCGCTGGCGCTGGTTGATGCAGCTTCCCCAATAAGTTAAAGTGGTCAACACGTTCTAACACTCAATTACTGTCTATCTGTAAGCTAGAAGTCGATATTGTCCAGGCATTCCTGAAGCAACATCTTACATGTGACAGGGGGGATGGCTTGCCACACATTCAAAGATTGCTGATCAATGTGTTGAGAGGACTCTACTCTGTTTTTTCGGTGTCTTCACCTAGGAGGGGAGGACAATATCATCTCTTCAAGAAATGTGAATTCGTGACCTAACTTGAAGCATTGCATGAAAATGAATCCGCTTAACTAAACACTCCATTTATTTCTACATTTTCGTCTCCCATTCAGGTGATGATACACCAATTCTCATGAATATGAATGAAAATGAAAGTTTTCCTATATTTCTTAATTCAAAAAGACCAATAATGTGTGGTGGATTAAGCTTTGAAGAATTAAATGAATTGAAGATATTTTGGGCAGTCAACATTACTGGTGGTAAACGTGATATCATTGCTGTAAATTTAACTCATGATAATAATCAAATTATTATTCCACCAAAAAGTGGTAATGGAAGTTTTTCACTACCAGGTCAAATACGTGTATTATGTATTCTACGTAATTCTCCTGATGGAGAATATTTACATTCACATACAAAAATTATTAATATTACTGGTAGGTTGTGACTTCATTTCTTTTTTTTGAATCAATTTATCTAGCTTGAATAGATTCACTTTACTTGATTGTATGCCAGCCACGCCTCATGTGGTCTGGAGCTCAATCCCTGACCAAAGCGCTCCTTTACCTCACTAAGCCGGCAATGCGATTGGTAAAGGGGAGAGGCTGGGCATCGTAAAAACAAACGCCACTGCTACTGGAACTTCCAGCCTCTAGATTCGAGACCTATGACCAACTGGCAACGTAAGGGAATAAAATAAATTATGCATAAAACTATATACTACTGATTAATGAATGAGTAGCTGGCCAGAAATTTGGTGCTTCGAATTGATTCAGCTTTGTGGGCTGAGTCAACCTGGGTACATTACTGATGAGCTTGACCCCAAGTGTTTAGTTCATCTCGATATGGCTAGCCAGCAAGTACTACTGGTTGGTATTGTAACGACAGATGATAAGGGTCAGGCAACAGATCGTTTATTGAGAAAATCAGGAGAAACATATAGATTTTTATGTACATTATTGTCAGCGGAGAAGCAACGTCTCCTGATTGGTTGTTTTCCTGCTGAAGGTTATTCTGCGCTGCTTGTGACCATTGATCAGAAAGTTAAGCCATATATCTGCGAATCGTATTTGCACACGCTAAGTCTGCTGTGATTGGTTGTTGAGTTCCTCAAGGTTTTAGCTTTGTTCTTGTTTTTTTCTCATAACCCCGATCCGGGATGTAAACATTGACGTAAATTGTTGTCTACAATTTTGGCTTGCAGATAGCTCTCACCACAGTATGTGAGTGGTGTGGAACTACTCATAACAACTAATTAGTAGTGTATAGTTTTACAGAAATATACTTGCTTTCCTGATTACCGATTAGTGGTATCAAGGCGATCACATTTTATGGTGATCTGAATAACTTGGTTTCTTAAGGAAACTACGGTGAAATTTTACCACTCGAACTCTGTGTGGATAGCAAATTGCTGACCAGTTTGCAATTTGTGAATTTGATTTACTAAAAGCGACTGACTGCGATTTTTAACCCAAAAAGGGTTTGCGCAATATAGTATAATCGCTCAATCTGACACATCTGATAAACTCGTAGATAAGGTTAGAGAAAAAGAAGTAAATACAAAGAAAAGAAAAATAAAAGAGAAATATACGATAAAATGAAAATTTGCCTCAAGAATAATGAGAATCTAATGCATACGAAACGTTCGGCTGGATTCAGGAAAGGTGAATTATATGCTGATCAAATTGCAACTCTACGCATCATCATCATCACAGAACAAAGCATAGAATGACAGTGAAAAAACTGTACCTTAACTTCATTGACTTCAAAAAGACCTTCTACGTTGACAGCGTTGACCGAGAAGTAATTTGGAAACTGCTTCAACATTATGGCATTCAGTGCCCAAGACTTTATCAACCTCATTCAACAGTTGGTTTTATGACGATGTCAAGTGTCAGGTGATCCACAACGGAAAAACCAACGAAGGCTTTGAAGTGAATACAACAGTAAGACGGGGCTGTCTATTATCACCAATGATACTCTTATTGGTGGTGGACTGGATTATAAGTAAGCCTGTGGGGAGTGAGGAGACAGGAATACGCTAGACCAATGAGAAGACTCCAGGAGGTCTGGATTTCGCAGATGCTATATGCCTAATGTCACATAAACGCGGAGAATTACAGACGAAAACCAACAAATTGGCTGGAGAAGGAGCGAATACAGCACTGCAGGTGAACATAAAGAAGACGGAGATGATGAAGATAACCAACCAACAACAACAACCAGCATCAGTCACCATCAGTAGGAGGGATTTGACTGCGGTTACCTCCTTCACTTATCTAGGAAGCATCTTTTCAACTACAGGCAGTCGGAACGGATGAGGATGTCAAAGTCAGAATCGGAAAGGAAAGATACGCCTTCATCAACCTGAAACCAATTTGGAAGTCTTCTACACTCAACATAAGGAGCAAGATTTGTATTCAGTTCAACACCAAAGCTGAGTCACCCACTTCTTCTTTACGGGTCAGAAACTTGGCCAGTGCTTCACGAAAAGCATTTCCAACATGTTACCAACTTTTAACATCAGCTGCCGTGACTGATCAGAAAGAATTACCAACTGGAAACTCTGGCGGTGAACAAACCAACCACGAGCTGATCGCTCAACTATTATGTAGGAGAAGGTGGAGGTGGATCGGACATACACTGAGGAGGCCACTGAATGACATCGCGCGCGGTGCAGGCCATCTCTCGAGTGGAATCCAAATGGAAAGCGACCAGTGGGACGTCCTAGGGTGACATGGAGGAGATTCTTGCGAGGAGGAGACAAGAGATTATGGACAATGGTGGACCCACCTGAAGAGGTCAGCACCAAATAGAAAACAAAGTGGAGATGTGCTGTTGAATATCCTAAGTTCCACTCGGAACGCAAGGGAATAATGACACTGACAGTCCTGTGCAATTAGTTGTCAGTATCTTGAGGACTCTAGCCTACTTAATCATGTATTAAACTGTTGCATACAAGAATTCCCTTTTACAAATTTGAGTAGAGAAAGAACAAACTTTGGTGCAGAATAACATGGACCTATTTGATTTCGCTGGCTCTCATCTGCTGCGTACAACCTATATTCTTTAACACAATAGGTCAGTGTAGAATTTTAGCATACTTTTGTCTATCAACAGGCTTGTTGTAAGAGCGTTATAGTGAGAGAAAACATCAACGCCATAAAGTGCCTTGAGTATTACAGTGTGAATATATGTATTGTTAGAAAGAAGTTTCTCAAAAGTTAATTGACAAATTTGTTGTTAGGATGGTAACAAAAATTAGATAATAAAAGATCGAAACTTGGTGTACAAGAGGTCAAATGAAAAGATAATTGTGTAACTCGGTGAGTAGAACACATAAGGCCAAGAAGAATTATGTCTTATGGGAGTCAAAAAAGAAAACAACTGGGTGGTGGTATTGGAAAGCTAAATTAATGGGATTAGAAGGCAAAGAGTTGTTGAAGGATGATTCACCAGGGTAAATGAAGTCTGTCGACAGATCCCTTTTGAACACAGGTCAGGTTTCAGCCGTTTTATTGCAGTAGCACCAACAAACAAAAGGAAAATTGAGTTATTTTTTCTGTTAATTATTTTGAATGATCTCAGGGCGTCTACTCGGTGTCACTTGTCTATTAGGTGTTTAGTGATTTCAGAGCTTAAACTATGTGGCCCATTAAACTGGCAGCTCCCTGGTACGTGATTGAAGAATCTGACGTAGGCCCTTCTTCCTGTTCTTCCAATATAACTACTCCCACAGAGATATGTGAATTGGTAAACACAGTTGGAAGTAACATATGGTTATCAGGTTTATACAAATTTGACGATTATACTATTTAAATATGCTGTTTTTTCCAGTTGATTATCATTATAATCGACAGTGATGAAATGCCTCGTCGTGAATATCAACAAAAATGGCGCGTTACTGGAAAAAGAACCTACAGCGGCAAGAAATATACTCCATATTTTAATCAATTCTTCATGAATAGCTGCACAGTAATACGTAGCTTTTAAAAAACAAATCATCAAAAGCATACCAAATATATTGTGATATGTTAGTTCGTTGACGGTGTGGTGGTGGAATGATCGCCGTCCACGCCGGAAGTGGTTCGGAGTTCGATTTCCGGCCGGCGGACGTACTCCTTAACCTCGCTATGCCGGCTAAGAGAACGGTGAAGAGGGAAAGTTGGGTATGAGGCTAGCAACACCACACCCCATAAAAATAAACACCACTGCTTCGGAAACACCAAAGCTCTAGCTGAATTTTAAAAGTTAACAACAAGTTATTACATAATCAATTGATTGTAAGATACTGATAATTCTGAAGAATGAGCAAGTAAATTTATCAGAAATGATGAAAAAGATTTGTGGCTCAGATGGATAATTTCAGTGTATTTGTTTCCTCTGAACTGGACTGTTTAGTTCTGAAGTTTGCTCGGTGTCTTTCTAAGCAATGTAGTCAGATTGAAGTTATCCAATGAGGAAGTTGTGCAGAAGAAACAATATATAACCTCTCAGGTCATGATGTAACGACAGAAGACAAGGACTAGGAAACATATTGTCTATTGAGAAAATCAACAGATATTTATAGACTTATATGTACATTATTATTGGCGTTATTGTTAGCAGAGAAAAAGCGTCTTCTGACTGGTTGTTTTCTTGCTGAAGTTTATTCCGTCATCTCTTTGTGGCCGTTTCTTTAAAGGTCAGACCATGTATCTGCTAATCGTATCCGCCCATGCAAAGTCTGCTGTGATTGGTTGTTGAGTTAGTCATTGTTCTTGTTTGTTTTCTCATGACCAAGATATGGGACGTAAACATTGACGTAAATTGCTATCTACCAATTTTAGCTAGCAGATAGCTCTCACCAAAATAGATTACACAGTCAGTACTTATATTCAGTCGACTGAAGTGATGTATAAGATATTAGATTTGAAGATTAGGCATTCAGTAATCTATCAGTGTAGCTGCATTCCCTGAGCTGGTTGGTTTAATTAGAAGGCTTCTATTGTCTTTCTGGGTAATATAATATAATCCTGTAGTTTCAGAATGAAGTGAAGCTTTAGAATTTCGCCTCAGCGTATTAATCGTCTCCTCCTTGACAGCCTTGAACCTGATTGGTTGTCTCCAGAGTTTTTCTCATCCCCCTATGTCCATTTTCTATTGATATTGTTGACCTGATAGTAGTTGATCTTTTCTTCACATGATGAACACCCACCTCTCAGAGAACACAACTACACTGACATTATCTATTTGACATACAAGTCTTCCCCCCTTCCCCTAATTTCTAACTCATAACTGTGTTGAGCTGAAAGTGGTTATGCTAAAATGAGTCATTATACGGCACGAAGTACTAGTATGGTTAAAGCTGTCTACTAGCCAAAATTGGTAGACAGCAGTTTACGTCAATGTTCATGTCCCAGATTTTGGTCAAGAGAAAAGAACAAGAACAAAGACTTTGCGTGTGCAGATACGATTAGCAGATATATGGTGTGACCCTCAAAGCAACGGCCACAAAGAGAGAAGACAACCAATCAGAAGACGCTGTTTCTCCGCTAACAATAACGCCAATAATAATGTACATAAAAATATATAAATATCTGATAGTGCGGAAAATTCCCATATTATGAATTAAAAGTCAATCTGAACGAAGAATATTCTTTCCAATAATTTCTCTTCAGGTTCTTACAATTATAAAATATAATATTTGTTGTCGTTACAATAAAGGCCAGTTATGCGGCAGATACATTTTTAACGTAGAATAACAGATTAGTTATGGGGTGTCAAAATAAATAGTCGTATTTGTGTGACAAACGTGCTAGGCTGAATTCGATTACAAAATAATGTAAAACGGGAGACAATGGTGATTAATCATAATAGATTTGTAGAGTGTGGGGTAGGAAAATTGGCAGGTCAGTTCAAGGTTATAAAAGGTGTCAGGTGATTGGCTAGTACAAAGTGGTCTGTGTTGAACAGGAGATAGTAAGACTGCAATGGGAGGTTCATAATGAGATAACGAATATGTGAAATGAAACAGGTGGAGGCATATGTTGAGTCTTACTATCTCCCGTTTAACACAGACCACTTTGTACTAGTCAATCACCTGACACCTTTTATAACCTTGAACTGACTTGTCAATTTTCCTACCCCACACTCTACAAATCTACTATGATTCATCACCATTGTCTCCCGTTTTACAATATTTTGTAATCGAATTCAGCCTAGCTCGTTTGTCACACATATACGACTATTTATTTTGACACCCCATAACTAATCTGTTATTCTACGTTAAGAATGTACCTGCCGCATAACTGGCCTTTATTGTAACGACAACAAATATTATATTTTATAATTGTAAGAACCTGAAGAGAAATTATCGAAAAGAATATTCTTCGTTCAGATTGACTTTTAATATAAATATCTCTTGATTTCCGCAATAAATAATCTGTTACCTTACCCTTATCTTCTGTTGTTACACTAGCACTCTTTGCGCGTCCAACGTATTTCAGTTTTCTTAGGAGTGCAAGCTCCTGTTTTTCAGTATACATATATATATATATATATATATAATCGTAACCTGAAATAATCCCGACTTTTTATATTGTATTGTTTATACAGAATATAATACAATTGCAGAAAGTATATTCGTTTATGATGTCCAACAGTCAAATATATCTGTACCGATTGGATCAGATGAAGAGATTCCATGTGATAGTTCTCTACGTTCATCTTCTTCTTCCTCGTTATCACCTTCATTAGAGTTATGTAGTCAACATCGTGGCCGTCAATTGAAACGACCAGTTGGTTCTCTATGTTATTATTGGAGAGGAAAAATAATCAATAATTCATCGAATGTAGAACATATTTTATCATTAGATAAATCTAATGATCGTGTAATTATTAAACCACCAAAATGTTCACCATTTTATAAGATGAAAGGTTATGCAACAGTTGAATGTACTTTATTAAATCAGTTACATGAAATAAAAATGAAATTTATAAAGACAGTACGTATAACTGGTAAGTTTTTTGGTGACGAAAGGAAACTGTTTCTTTTGTTATTATTCGTTTCTTGTACTCCGATTGGAGAACAGGATGTTATTGGGAAATTTCCAATTCACTGAGTGGTTCCCTCATATTACCGTTTAGACAGCTTCAAAAGTGTCCAGAATCTTTCCTTGTCTTCTGGCAAAACTTTCTTTATTTCACCCTAGAACCTACCATACCCATCTCATCACTTACCTTCCAATCAGGTCCCACTTGAAGGTATGACTAGAATATTTTGTCACTTGAAGGCGTTTTCTTTTAGAGTGTGTCCAGTCCAGCTCCATTTCCTACTGTATATGTACCTTTTTTATTTTTCATCATAGCTTGATTCCACACTGTGTTTCTTTTTTTTTGGTACAAGTATGAAATTTTCAGCATGTGATATCCATAGCCCAAATTTTGCAGGCCGACCATTGATATAAGGTGTGCATTGGCAGGAAATAGAACCCTGGACCATGTGCATGGTCGGCGAGAGTCCTAAACTCTGTGCCACCGACGCATTGGCGGGTTTGTCGTTTAACGAGTTGATCACGGACTGATATCACTTCGAGAACCATTGAAAACCAGGGAGTACTGGACAGCTGCTGTTTCATCCTAGTCTGGGAATCATCGCCAGTACGCACCCACTGGGCTTCGAACCCAGGACCTTCCGGTTACAAGGCAAGCTCGTATACCATTCAGCCACTGAGACCCGATTCAGTGGCTCATGAATTCTAGCTTCAACCAATTCGTGATTTAGCGCGACTCCAACCATTGTCGTTGGTAGGACATCCATCCACACACGTGACATCTAATTGGACCTCACTGGTCACGACTTCTCACTATAACCCCAAGAAACTCCTGTAGCAAGTCACCATTTGCTAGTTTTTGTTTTGTAGCTTCTCTTATCTCACCGGGTATCTGATCTTCAGTATCGAACGGTGGATATAAGTTTTGATAAAAATCTGTATTAGCATGTTAGAAATATTTCCGGTGAAGTGTAAGCCGTGTCTCTAAACTCTGTGGAAGCATTGACTCGACATTAGTTTAGAAAGTCTGGATCCTGTTCCTTACGCTTTATTATGTGGTTCTTCATACCTATATAAATTCATAAATAATCCCCTGTCAAGCACTTATGAAAACAAATAAATAATTAAAAGAAAAGGGGTGTTTTTGACAGTTTCACTTCCTCTAGAGGTACAGTCGCTTTCATATATTTTTACAAATAGAGAAGGATATTTAACCAGTTGGAAAGAACTTCTAAGGCGTTGATTTATCTATTTGCCACTCATTAGATGATTTTGACTACACACTAGTTAACTGGTGTCATGCATCTAGTCCTTTGTTTTGTGTAGACTAAATTATATCGGTTAAATTTACAATGTGGTTACCGAGGTGATTCCTACTGGATCCAGAGCTTCCTGCCGATTGCCTCCAACCATCTGATATCAACAGTTTACAGTGAATCGTGATGACGGGCCACCTAGTGACATGGTGGCCACGTTGTAAACTTGACTGACTGATAGAATTCAGTCTGTACCGAAGAAAGGACTAGTCGCATTGCACTAGTTACTAACTAATGTCCATTCAAAGGATCCAGATACGCCTTGCTGAAGAGTGCCAACTAGCACGAAACCTAGGTCCAAGGCTTCCTGCCGATTGCCTCCAACCATCTAATATCATCACAAACAATGTACACCGTGATGGCGAGCTACCTAGAGTGGTGGCCACATTACAACCTGACTGATAGAATTCAGTCTGCACCAAAGAGAGGACTAGACGCATCACACTAGTTACTAGTGTCAAATCAAAAAGTCCTACAGAAAGTCAGTAGCAAGCTTTTATAACTCATTAGGAACTTCTCTGACTACAGCACTGAGCGACGCGTTATCCAGTACTATCAAGATTGCAGATATGCCTTGCCGATTGACTGGTGAGTGCCAACAACCACCAAAACCTGGGGTCAGACTGGTCTTCCTACCGATTTCCTCCAACTACCTAATACCAACAACTTATAAGATGGTTCACAGACAATTACATGTCTTGAAAATCCCCATTCAGTCATATAAAAGAAAAAAAGGCGTTCAGCGAAGAGACTCTTTCCGGCGAATTCATTCACTGAGCTGTACAATAGCATATATATACAATTTTGTTTGTGTGTATGTACATTAGATTTATAAGGTTTAGATAATTATGTAATATAAGTATTATTTGGCTTAGAGACAAACGTTAAGATAGAAAATAAAATATAATTGATTAAGTAAGTTGGATGACGTAATACAATTGAGTAGAATTCATAGTAGGTCAGGTTGGCAACAGTGTTAATGAGTGGTGGTTAAAATTAAATAAGGGTGGGGGTAGAGAATAATACAGTTGAAAATTAATTAAGTTAATCGGATGACGTAACATAGTTGATTAGAAATTGGACGTGGGTCAAGTTAGCAACATTGTTAATGAGGGTAGAGATTACAAAAGGGTGGGGTAGAGAATAATACGAATGAAGATGTGAAATAATAAAATGCAAAAGACAAAATAATACAATTAGTAAGACTGAAATTAAGAAAGATTACGTCCATTGTAGATTTAATGAATGAACTAATTTCTTTTGTATGCAGAGTTCAGGATTTAGCAGATGAATTGCCATTGCTTCTGTGATGTGGAGAAGTTTGATCCGTACACTTCTAGCAAGATTGCTTTGTATTCTGTAGATAACTTTGAAGTTTATTTCTGGTTTGACTTGATGTCCAGAGTCGATCAAATGTTCTAGGATCGAGCTGCGGGGGCATCGCTTTTCTCCTTTATAAAACCATGAAAGTAAATGTTCGTTGACACGTTTGGATAGCGAACGCTGAGTACGGCCGATATACCTGGATCCACACTAGCAGGTGAATTGGTAGATGCACATAGATGAGGCCAACAGCGGTAGCTTATCCTTCACGTTCATACGAATCATTGGTCTTTTTAAGAGAAAGTCTGTTGTCACAAACCCATTTCAACTAGAAGCATTTCATTGGCCCTCTTCAGTGACGTTATAAGGTATCTCCTATTGGGGGTTAATCATCGAAATAATCAGCTATATACACTTTACCTATGTGAAGCTGTAAGTTGACGATTCACTGGTAGTATGCCAGCCATCCACTCATGTGGTGTGAGTTCTTCATCCGACCTGAGTCCATTCCTAACCTCACTTAACCGGTTTTAAAACTGCTTAACGGGTAACACTGAATGTGATGCTAGCACTGGAGCCACACACGTTGTCAAGGATCTTAACCCTAAGTTCCTATTATTTGCGAAAGCGCTCCGAATCGATAATTACTAAGTACGATTATGGACTTTAACTCCCAAACAAAAGGACTTGTAAGAAAGAAACTGTATTGTTCAGCAGTTAGAATCTTTATCGTACAAGAGTCTATGAACATATGTTTTACAAGGAATGTACTATACTTTTATTCGTATTCTTTCGTCTTCCTCCAACTTGTACACGACTGATTCATTTGCTCCTTCGAGTTGCCCGCCAATGGTGACCAAGGTCAACGAACCAACGTTCAGTGTTCACGTTAATTTACTCACCCCGTAAGACATTTTCAACTGAAGTGAAATTTTAAACCTACAGCTTTAAGCCCTTTGTTTGCCTTGAAACGCCATGGGATGAGAAGAAGTGAAGTAGATATATCAACTAGCACCAGTCAATATCAGCGAGAGAAAATAGAAAGAGGTCACTTTCTGTGCATCGGTGGCACAGTGGTTAGGACTCTCGCTGACCATGCACATGGTCCGGGGTTCGATCCCCTGCCGACGCACACCCGATATCAATGGTCGGCCTGCAAAATTTTGGCTACCGATATCCATGCTGAAAATTCCATACTTGTACTGAAAATACGGTGTGGCATTGAGCTGTAATAAAAAATAAAAATAAATAAAAAATTCTTCACTTATCTACGTAGCATAGTTCAAAGTACAGGCTGGACGGATGAAGATATCAAAATCAGATTCGGAAAGGCAAGGCACACCTTCATCACTCTGAAATCAGTTTGAAAATCTTCTGCACTCAGCCGGCATAAAGAAAAGGATTCAGGTTTTCAACATCAGTGTTAAGTCAGTCAGTCAGTCAGCTGTTCTATATGGGTCAAACTTTCATCAATAGCTTCCATCTTTGGTGGTTTCATATTTAAGATCAAACGACTGGCTGGCTGGCTGACCAGAAAGAGTTACCAGCGAACAAGGAACTCTAGGAACAAACCAACAAACGAGAACCTATTACTCAACAAATATGACAAGGAATATAGGGATGGATAGGACTGTAGCGGTAAATAATTCCCCAAAATTATTGACCACAGCAATCATCAGTCAACATTGGATGCTGACCCTCACTGTTTAAGTCGACTTGTTTAGCTGAAGGCTTCCGGTCAAGCATCCCTGCCATTTGGTACTTCGTCGTGTCACGTGTGTACATGATCACTAGCCAGCTAAGCATTCACTTCAGCCCGCGATTTGATCCCGAAATACATACCGTACTTTGGACGACTAAATCTGGTCTTTTGCTTTGTCTTTGGTACTCGAAGAACGAACACTATAGAAGTTGTTGGTATAAGATCTTGCGTTAGTATACTCCGTACAATTCGTGAGCGTCGATACCTTCAACCTCCAAAGGACACATACCACTGGGGCGGCCTTCAAATGACATCGCGTTCAGTGAAGGCCATCTCTCGAGTGGGACTTCAATGAGAAACGACGAATTGGTTGTGGGTCAGAGAGTCACATAGCAGAGATCCTGCAAGAAGAAGATGAGATATTTTAGAATATCCTGGATTCAAGTTAGGAGGACCACAGAGACAGGGGGAGAAAATAGGACAATGAGGAAATGTGCTGCTAAAGCACCATTTTCCACTTAGGAACCCCCTTAAAACAATACCAATAATAATAATATATCAACTAGGTACCTACAAACCTGAATGAATAATACAACATTAAATATCATATTCTTTTAAAATAAATTACCACCACAATTTTTTACCATTTTAAATGTTTCTTTTCTTTTTTCATTTCTACAGATCCTATTTTAATTGGTACACTGAATGGTATTGATGAGTCAAATGTAACTGTACTACTGAATACATCTAAAACATATCAATGCGGTTTCTTGCCGATGAATTATGTGAAATCAGGAATATATACTAATGGCCAATGGAATGCTAAAGTATTAGACGGTGGAACACCTAATCTAATCTCTATCACAAAATGTCATAATCAACTGGAGATTACACCACCGAGTGGATTGTCAACCTATTCAACTATTGGTCAAGTGTTGATAGAGTGTAGTTTTACACTGAATCATAATAGTAGTAGTAGTAGTAATCAAACTTTATTTTCATTTATAAAATCATTCAGTGTAATAAGTGAGTTTGAATGTATATAATTGATGTTTCATACATTTATTCCCCTTAATGAATTTGAACAAAGCAAGAACTACAGTTTTAGCAGAATAAAGTGGTACCATCTTTTATTTCGTTGCCTTCTCATCAGCTGATTATAGGCCACAGTCATTATTAGGTATACCTACAGAAACTATTTTAACATACTTGCACAGAGTTCATTTTAAACTAAAATCAATCGATCAATATATGCACTGTTCAAAGCATTTGTTCCCTTTAGACATAGGCTTTTTGTTACATGTTCAGAAAATCGTAGATATGCCCTTCTTTCTGTTCTTCCAATGTAACTGCTCCCGCAGATACATGTAAATTTGTATATACAGTTGGAGTTAACATGAGAAGGATATCTATCGATTTTTGATTGCACCAAAGAGCAAGTTGTTCGAAAGACGGGAACGAGCTTAGCTGCAGGATAGGCTATGGCTAGTGATGTACTCAGCCTTCTGTTGATCATCGCTGCAATGTTTTCGCCTTTATAATCAAGCTCAAAGTAGATTGGCTTTTCTCTTACTGTGATTAGTTTTTCATTTGCGAATGCAGATCTTCCATACTTGTTGATAAACCTTTGAGGGTACCCATTGCTCTTCAATATCTTTTCAAGAAACTCAAATTTCTCTATAGAGCATATCTCCTCGCTCTATATTACAGAGTCTTGACTAGTCCGCGTTTAAAGCTATTTGGACAAAAACTATTAAAATGTAAGTATTGTCCTTTCCAAGTGGGCTTTCGATAAATTGACTTTTGAAGACTACCGTCTTCTAGGCGTTCCATGGCAATGTCGAGGAAGTGGAACTTACCGTCACTTTCATGTTCCATAGTAAACTCAATATTGATGTGTGCATCATTGAATAATCTGAGTAAGTGTGAAGCATGACTATCATTTTTGCACACTATAAATGTGTCATCAACATATCGACAGTAGGAAGTTGTTTCGTCGATTGCATGCTTCAACTTTGTTCTTTCAAGGTTGGACATGAATATATCTACTAAAACAGGACTAAGTGGACTGCTTATAGCTACACCATCTGTTTGGCGGTAAACAGTGTTGTCAAGTTGGAATTGTACATCCATGGTACACAAAAACAGTAGGCGTTTGAATTCCGACTCTAGAAGTGGGAGAAGATCAGACTGCTGACAAATGATCTCAATGGTTTCGTTGGTTTGAATCATTATGAACAAGGAGGTTACATCAAATGTTATTGATGTTATTGTTATTTAAGTATTGGTTTGAAGGGTCTGATTTGATTGGTTACAGAATTTCATCATGAGCTTGACATCGGTTAGAGAACCATTGGAAAAATATCACTCGAGTACTGGATGGCCAGCTGTTTCATCAGCCTAGTTTTGGAATCTTCAGCGGTACGCACCCACCCCACTGATAGAGTTCGAACCCAGGACATGACAGTTACAAGGTGAGCGAGCTTGTAGACCACTAAGCAACTAGGACCCAATCCAATAGCCGGTCCATGAATCCCAATTTCTACCGATTCATGACATAGCGCGATCACTAGCCAATTTCTAGCCAATGGCGACTATATGTCCTCACACCCGACCGAACAGACACCACTCGTCAAGAACGTACAACATGCTACAAAAATGAACCACGTCAAATTGTCTTACTTTATATGACACATATAATGGTGGAAAAAAGAAGAGAAATACAAAGTAACTATAAAAACACAGAGATCTGAAGGAGAAAGAATAATTACATAAAGAACAGTGACGGTTGAATGAATCTCGAAGATCTCAAACAGTGAATGTATCTATGTCGCTAACAACAGTCTCTAGTCATTGGTTATTTAACGTCTCGAGGACCCCAGTAAAGGTCAAACGAACAGTCGGAGATGTGATCAATTGGTACTAGGTTTTGATCTGTTCAAAAAAACCTTGTGCCAGCTAAAATTGCTTGCTACATTAGGAAGAAGAATATGACTATTAGCATTCAAGCTTCATTATAGTTTAGCCTACGAATTACAAAAAGAATATACAATCGATCGAGACTAAAAAACAAGTAGCATTCAGTTGATGATGTTTATCACCAAAATCCGTTAATCATTTTTCACACTATTTGAACATCATCAGTCGATTGACTGACTTTTTACAGCATAGAGCTTTGCACAGATGTGCACCAGTTCAACTTGCCAGTCTTCCCGCTATGTAGTACAAAAAGTAAGAGAAGAGGGTAAATAGAGACAATAAACAAAAGTTTGAGGGAAAAAGAATAGTAATATGGTGGAAGAACAATAGAGTTTTTTATTAGATATGACTCTCAAATGACAAAGAGTGAATGCATCTGCGTTGTTATTGACAACGAGTATTTTGAGCCATATGATGACCAATTATCCTCTAACCTCTGCCATTGGTTCTTACCATCATCCCGAGGACCTCAACTAGCCAACCAATCAGTCTACACCCCCCTACATGTCTTGCTGGCTAGCTTGAACTAACCGTTGGGGATTTGATTGCCTGATTGATGAAGCCATGTTTTGGTTTGGTCACCAGTAGCTATCTCTTTTCCAACCTGGTCCATCCTATGTCAGTCAGCTAACATTTCTCGTTGTCAAGGAAAGCAGTGTCTAGGCTAGTAGACTAGACATGTGCGTCGGTGGCACAGTGGTTAGGACTCTCGCCGACCATGCACATGGTCCGGGGTTCGATCCCCTGCCGGCGCACACCCGACATCTATGGTCGGCCTGTAAATTTGGGCTACCGATATCCATGCTGAAAATTCCATACTTGTACTGAAAATACGGTGTGGAATCAAGCTGTTATCGAAATTAAAAAATTAAATTAATTAATTAGCACATGTCCTAATCATCTCTCCAAGTCAATGTAACTTCACAACCTTCTCGATTATTTTTTCCTTCCAACTCACCTAGTACTCGATGTCTGAGTCGTCAGTTAGACATAGCTGCGTAATTTCATGGAAAATATGTATTCCACGAATACAGTGTACTTTTGGGTGTTTTGTAAAGTGGTATCGTATGACGCATCATCATTTTATCTTAAACATAACTAAACTCTTTAGAATATTCTTTCTTCATTTTCCTCTTATGAAGTGAACGTCGTTAGGTTTGAAACTAATCAGAAATATCGCATAAGTTCATGTTATGACCGAAGGATAAGAAATGGAGAAAAGTGGATACACAATATGCTGCATGCATGTTAAGGTAGTTCAGTGATTTAACCAGGCCATCAGAACACATCCAATTATCTAATAGTGACTGTGATATTATTTCCAATATTATTATTATTACTTAGTAAGCCGGGGAAAATGGAAGCAGTTCAGTTTATTAAATAATTCTGAGAACTAACAAAAATTGCAAGACGGAGAAATATAAAGCTGACACTTTGAAAACGGAAATAAGTAACTACTACTACTTAAGATGATAAATTTCGGAATTAGATAAGCTTGAGACCACTCTATGGGAGGGAGTCCTGTAGTCCCTCGAATCGTCACTTCATACTAATTTGCCATTGCTGATTAATTTAGTAGTAGTATTTTAGCAATACTAAGCTATCCCGGTTGTGAGTCAGTAAGTTGTTCAGCGATAGAATGCTCGTCAGCCGCACCTCGCATCGTCCAGGGTTCAATTCTCAGCTGGCGTGCACACCTTTACCTACCTTAGTCGGTTGTAATCCCGACAAAAAGAGAAGAAGTTGAGCATTTGACTAGCAACCCCACTCCTACTGCTATTGATGAAACTTCATAGCTCTACCTTGAAGCCCTCCTGTTTTCCACTCGGAAAGCAAAGGAAAGAAATAATGATTATAATGATAATAATAAGCTATTCAGCCTAGTCTCAAAATCAGATCAATATTTCCAATTCACCAGGTTTGTTACTGGCTTTCAGTAGAATTCCGGAACACGTAAGTTGAATCTACCTGTGCCTAATGAAACTGGGATCCATTACTCAACGCTTTAAATGCTAGAGTGCTGTCTACCAGACCATTGGGCCTATAACAACCACCCCTTTGTGAAGTGGGCATTGATTTGAAATAATTTATTGTGGGAGGTTGTGCGTCGGTGACATAGCGGTTAGGACGGTCGCTGACCATGCACATGGTCCAAGGTTCGATCCCCGGTAAACGGACGCACTCCTTTACCTCGCTTAGCCAGAGATAATGCTGGTAAAAAAGAAAGGTTGGCTATGAGCCTAGCGACCTCATCCTGTAAAAATTAAACACTGCTATAGAAACTTCAAGCCACTAGCCTTAGGCCCTATGTTCCACTGGGAACATTTGTAGATTCTAAGAGGTTACAAACATCAATAAATAATAATTTCAAATAAACAATCATTAAAAGTAATATAATCAGTTAGGTAAAATTTTACAGAAGAAACTTCACTTTAATGAGAAGTCAACTATGTCTTTATTTTCACTTGATAATCACATTTGTTTTAATTATAGCTCATGATCAGGCGGGAACATTAAATGGATACGACAGTTCAAATATAATTGTTCCAATAGATTCAAGTGATAAATTCCAATGTGGTTTACTTTATGGCATTGATGCATGGCTTAAAGGTTATTGGAAGGCGAATATCATCAGTGGATTAAAGAATTTGGTTTCCCTGAATAAAATTAACGGTCAAGTATTCATTGAACCTCCACATGGAAGTAAATATTACAATGCATATGGTGAAATTACAATTGAATGCATTTTTATCAATCAAGATAATGATAATAAAATGTTCAGTTTTATTAAAAACTTGACAATTGAAAGTAAGTAGAACGTAAAACACATTCTTAAAATAATAATGAATTACTGACAGGATCTTATCATGAGTTGTTATTGGTTAGAGAACCATTGAAAACCAACACGGAACAGCTGTTTCATCTGCCTGGGTTGGGAACATCCAATCCCAGGGTTAGAATCTAGCACCTTCTGGTTACAAGGCGAGATCGTGGACCATTAAGCCACTGGGACCCTATCCAATAGCCAGTCTGTACATTCCAGAGGGCTCGCCTTATAACCGAAAGGTCCTAGGTTAGAACCCTGGCAGCGGAATGAGTGCGTACTGCTGAAGAGTCCGAAACTAGGCTGAAGGAACAACCATCCGGTACTCCCTTGTGGTTTTCTAGTAGTCAAATCCCTGCAAACCAAACCTTGAATAATGAGTTGATTCATTCAATCTATGGTAGAATACAAGCCAGTCCTGTAGGAGGTCCATTTTTCGATTATCGACCAACTCACTCCTAGACCTCAGCTAGCAGTTCTATGTCACAGAAGAAAAACACCAGTGCTACTGTAACTCCAAAGTTTGAAGTCCTATGTTCAAATCAGAGTACAAAGAAGCTATCAGGACTGATATTCTACTTGCGACACTAAAGAACAAAATATTCAACAGAGACAGCATCTTTCCAACAGACTTACTTGTGCGTTCATACACTGGGCAATTTAACGAATATGAAGATTCATATTTGCTTACAACTACAAATGGTTCTAAATTAAAGCGACAGAGGCGTTTAGTAATCCCTCGTCTTCACTTTTTCCCTTAACTCATAGTGGTTCTAAGTTCGATCGCGAAATGAACTACTGAAAAATATGGAGTACTGGACAGATGCTCCGGCCTACTTCGAGACGCTTCATCAAAACGAGCCCATAATCCTATTAAGGATCGAAACTAGGATTCTCTGGTTACCAGGATAGCTCATTGAAGCCGAATCCAGTAGCCAGGCCATGAAGTGTAACTTCTGACAACATGCGATTTATAGCACAGCCGCCAGTAGGTGTCATCGACTAGTATTTATCCTGAAACCTGACTTCGTGATGATCTCTTCAATGCTTCCTGGTTTTCATTGGTTCTGTAAGTGAAGTCATTTATTGATTAGTCTTCAAATCAATGAAATTCCTGAAAACCAACACTTGAATACCAAAACAATACTTAATCCTTTTGCCTACTGAATGTCTAAATGGGGATTTTTTTCTATATTTTAAATCTTTTGAGCAACAGTTTGCGTTAAATGTGCTCAATGAGTATCTGAAGTACACCTCAAGATTCAGTAAACTGGGAACTTCTGGGAATTTCATTCATTCTCGACTGCAATGAAACTAGCCGATAGCATAAGTCCTATTGGAAATCTTTACGTCGTAGCAGAGTTCAGTCGAACACTTAGGCACCACTCATTAAATCAGACTCACTCGCTTAAATCATATCATATATCACAGAATTATCAAACAATGTTACGTGAAGGTTCTATGCTGTGGGCGAACTTCTAGGGCACTTAAATAAATCAGATAATCAGTAAGAGGAAAGAAAAGAGAAGAAAAGAAAAGAAATGCGTTTGCTCAATCTTTCTGTCTTCTAAATGTTTAAATGGGGATTATTTTTCCTACCTTGCAAAATTAGTTTGAGTTCATTGCAAAATTCACGTTGAAATTAATTGAATTCCAGAATAATTTCTGGTTAGGGGTCAAATTAATAAAAATTACAATTAGGAATTAGAATGCCATAATAAACAGGGAGATGGGTAAACCTCAAACATAGTAGCATAATAACTAAGAAGATTGACATTGTGCAATTCGGGGTTAGAAATGTTAAAATAACAAAATATACAGGATGTTTGGATAAAAAAACTAATGTGATGAATAGTTGTTTATGCAATCAGGGATTAAATATGTAGAAATAGTAAAATAACAAAATAAACAGGAAGAGTGGATATGAAAATATGGTAGTGTAGACAGGGATTAAGAAAAAACTTAAAATAACATGAATAAACAGGGAGTTTAGATAAAAAAGGCGATGGGATGGTCATTATTTTAAAAAAATATACCTGTTTATGATGGCCATGGCAGGGACAGGCGTTGGACGTATTTCTTTTGGATCCCATCGCCTTTCTTATCTAAACTTCCTGTTTATTCATGTTATTTTAAGTTTTCTTAATCCCTGTCTACACTACCATATTCTCATATCCACTCTTCCTGTTTATTTTGTCATTTTACTATTTCTACATATTTAATCCCTGATTGCATAAACAATTATTCATCACATTAGTTTTTTATCCAAACATCCTGTATATTTTGTTATTTCTACATTTCTAACCCCGAATTGCACAATGTCAATCTTCTTAGTTATTATGCTACTTTGTTTGAGTTTTACCCATCCCCCTGTTTATTATGGCGTACTAATTCCTAATTGTAATTTTTATTAATTTGACCCTTAACCAGAAATTATTCTGGAACTTTCCCATCCATTTGATGTAAATACACGAATGTACAGCCTAGTTGACGGTGACTTCGTCTAAAAGAAAATTTTCTTCGCTGCAACTGTCTTTTTTTATTCCCTATGATCAAATGTGTATATTCCGTAATTCAATTCCAATAGGAACCAACACTTTCTTAAATCTAGTCTTACTCACATTTCCATTATAAATTTTCTTTTATTCCAGATTATAGGATAGAATTTTTCCCAAAGAATCAAATTATATACATTGGAGATAAAGATGAGATTACTTGTGCCATAGTAACAAAACAAGGCTCTATAATCTATGAAGAAGGCTCACTACATGTCCAGTTATTATCTGGAGATGATTCACTCATTGAAATAGACAATACTGATCTACATCCAGTAATCAAACCACGAAAGAAAGTGCCATTAGTCTATGATAAGCCCGGTGAATTTCATATCCAGTGTGTATTTACAAATTATAAAGGATATACACTGAGAAAGCAGCTGCATGTTCAAATCTCTGGTTAGTTTTTACTTCATTTTTCTTGTTAAATTTATGCAAAAGTAATCAATATTGATTATGCCGTAGGATATAAGAATAAAACTTGTGCACTGTGGTAGAGTGTAATTCCATTATGGGTAAATTTTATTTTGATAGAGTCTCACAGTGTTATACAGTAATATTTACTGATCACGTTTCGAGCACAGTTTATTGCTCATAATCATATCAAGGTACTCATATAACTTTCTAACTCCGTTTATATAATTCCGTTATTTTCCATAGCTTGATTTGATTGGTAGTAGTATTTTCCATATTTCGGGTATGAGTGATGAGTCATTCCTATTGCATGTGTTGTGTTGGGTGTAGATTCGATGAACCAGGATTCAATAATCAATCTCTCTCTGTCTCCACCTACATAGATTACTTCTTAGAATTTTAACCCTCTCCCACCCTATTGTGTGGTAGTGTGTTAATGCATGCAGTAATATTCCTGAGGTTTTTTCTACATTACTTATCTTCTCGGGGTCAACCATTCTTACCTTAGCTAAATTCGTATGTTCCGACAATCTGACTACCCTCGACCTACTAGTTTGGCCAGACAGTCATTGCAGGGTAGTTTGTAAATTACATAATTTTGTTTAATTGGGTCAACCAACAGAGTCCTTTAACCTACAGAGCTTGTCCCTGAGTGAGTTTGTAGGTTTAAATGCCACCCTAATTCCTGCTTTATTGAGAATCCTACGTAGGGTCTCAAGTGTCCCCTCTTTATGTGGTATAACTGTAGATGACTTATATTCTCTCTTATTTATGTTATTATTACTAGTTTCACAGTTATTTTTATTTTGCTTTTGGCCTTTACTGATCTTCCTAATGAATCTTATAGAATAGTTATTTGATACCAGCGCTTCTTCTATCTGTTTTACCTCATCATTTAGGTCTTTTTTGTGCTACTTAGTGCCACTGCTTGGTTTGTTAAACACTTAACTAAGCCTGCCTTAACAGTTAAAGGATGAGATGAATTAAAGTCTAAATATCAATTAGAATGCGTTGGTTTTCTATAAACACTAGTGTGTAGTTTGCCTTCTATTCGTTTTATTTTACAATCTAACGTGGCTAATTCTCCTTGCTCATTTTCGGTTTCAAATGTGAATTTTATTCCCTCCACTAGTGAGTTTATGTGTGTCAAGAAGCTAGAGATATGTTCTGTTTTTAACACTGTGAAAGTGTCATCCACATATCTCCACCATATTTTTGGAGTAGGATTAAAAGTATTAAGAGCCATATTTTCCCAGCTATCCATAAATATGTCTGATACGATAGGATATATTGGTGATCCATCCCATTGCTACACCTTCAGTTTGTCTATATATTTTGCTTTGGGATTTAAAGATAGTAGATGTGAGGCACAACTGAATTCCTAAAATAATTTCATCAATGTGTAGTTTCGTCCTATAAGTGAGTTCAGGATCTGTAGTTAATTCTTTTTTAACTGCTTCTAAGGCCACATTGATTGGTATGTTAGTGTAAAGACTGGTTATATCAAAACTAAACATAGTTTCATCGTTCTCTAGTTGAATGTCATTTAGTTTATTTTTCATCTCATATGAATTAGCTAGTCTAGAGTTTGAGCGATTTCTAATGGGGCATGATATTAGAGCTAAGTGTTTTGATAATTCATAAGTAGGAGTATTTCTAAAACCTACTATTGGTCGGATGGCGTACCCTGGTTTATGTATTTTAATAGTGCCATACATTCCACTTGCATTATTAGTTTTAGGCGTCAAATTAAACCAAACCATACCAAATTAAACCATGCCGTAGGACTTCAGAAGCATATCTCTGTCATCACTAAGAGACGGCTTCACGATTGACTACAGACAGTCATATCCTCCATATCACCATCGGACGCTCAAGTCGTCGGGAATGTCTCATTCTAGTTTTACTCTACAGGGTCTGGTGTAAGAGATGACCTCATTTGAATGCCTCACTGTATATATCTAATCCACTTCCATTTTTGCCTCTGCATGTATTTTTGAGCAACAGATTGTTGACTGGTTTGTTGATACAGTCCCTTTTTACTCAACCTTTCTGGCCACCTGTTCTTCAATGTTGAGTCAGCAAAGGTAGGTGTGTTCATGAAAGTTTTTTGCTGAGCTGCCTGTTAGATATTGCATTCAGTAACTTTGTGTATACAAAGTCTTTGAAGTGTCTATAAGCACAGAATTTCGGTCTTGTTCTGTGTACCGAGTGTTGTGGATCTCCAAATCGATTTAGGAGTACTGAGCACCTGTCATATCCTTTTGTAATTACTTAAAAGTGTATGATGACAGATAGATAGAGAGATAAGTAAAAGGACTGAAGAAATTCCGGAAACATCTTGTAAATATTTTATAAGTATTTGAAATTTATGAAAAACTTACTTTGTTGGCTACACCAATTCCCAATCCAAGATATATCTAGGATTTTATGGGTTTTATAGGTTCCTCAGTCCAATGAAGAACTTCTTGATATTTGATAAGATAAATGATGTATTCCATTGTGACTAGGATGAAAAGCACCCCCCGTCCCCAATGACTGCAAAACTACTCCAACAGGTATTGTCAAACATGATTATATTATTATTATTATTCCTTTGGGGTCCGAGTGGAACATAGGGCTGGCCTCAACAACACATCTCCACTTTCTTCTTCTGTTTTCTCTCATCCTCTTCAGATGACTAGGTACACGACTAAACTAAACTCTTTTATCTCTTCCTCATACGATCTCATCCATGTCACCCTCGCACTGATGTCCCACTGATCGCTTCCTATTTGGATTCCACTCGAGCGATGGCCTGCATTGCGCGCGATGTCATTCGACGGCCTTCTTAGTGTATGCCTGATCCATCTCCACCATCTCCTACATAATAGTTGAGCGATCAGCTCTTGGTTGGTTTGTTCATCTCCAGAGTTTCTAGTTGGTAATTCTTTCTGATCAGCCATTTAATCTTCAGTATGTAGCCAGCGAAAGCAGCTAATGAGATAAGAGTCTGTAACTTGATGGAAATGCTTTTCGTGACACGCTGGTCACGTTTATGACCCGTATAGAAGAAGAAGTGACTGACTTCACACTGGTGTTACAAATGCAGCATTTAATTGAAATTATAAGTAAAAATAAGTAACTTTGTATTCTGTCATCAAAGATGATGTTTTTTCTGGGAAAACAGAAGATAGAAAAAGACTTCCGTCTATTCACAAGGCTAAATCAGCATCTTAATGTTATTGTAGAATCCCTGTGATCTATTACCCTTCGTGTCTACTATGCCACTGAACACTGTGATCTATTAATTGAACTTAGTACACGCCTACATCTAAGTAGAATAAAAGAATACCACAGTAAAAGATATTCAATTCAATTTTGTTTCATAAGAACAAACAGTTGGGCGAGGAGTCTCTTTTCGCCGGTGAATTATAATAATAATAATTTATATTTTCATATAAACACAAATTTACATGAAAATGCATGCCATTTTTACAGGCACGATCAAGTATGATATAATGACAAATAGTAGATTGTCTACAAGTTAATAATGTTTGAACAGCTAATTATTTGATATATATATATAAATACACTCATTGTCTGACCCATGTCGTATCATTATTGAATTAAACAGCAGTCCTCCAGGTTGCGCAGAAAAATCGACTTCGTTTCGTTTTCAACCCGTAGTTGTAGGCATACGATAGCCAACCAATATTGAGGTACGTACAAGGTTTACAAGGGATAGTAAGCTGTTTTAGAAAAGTAAAGGTGCTAAGGTGAATCATTGAGGTGTAATGAAATAGGTAAGTGCAATGTATCATTAATAGATGCATTCATAAAGGAAATACAATGGGAGACTATAATCCCTAGGCTGACAAAGTTCATTTGCAATGTATAATGCTACTCATATAGGTCTTACTATCATGATGTCCACTTTTGGTATTAATACAATTATCCACAAGCCGGTTGTTTTTATTACATACCTTTTTGTGTATTTGGTGCACAACCGTACCCTATAGAGAATAGGAATAGAATAAGTCGAATCGAATTCATAAAGAGCTATAAAATGTTAGGTTTAATGGAATATAATGAGGAGCAAGTGAAGACGTTATTAGAAAATGAATGAGATGAGACATTGTTAAGTGATATTCAAAGATACGACAAAGGAAAGCATGTTAATTTATAAGATACCCCATAAATCTGTACAGAGCCCACGTGGTCGCATCTCAGCAATAGGCTGACCGAATGGTATATGTTTAAAGGTAGAAGCATGATCTGTCTAGGCGATCATTATTATCTTTTTCAAGATAGAGATTCAAGCCCTCATAGAAATCTCGAGTCGTTCACTTATATGTACAGTCACAATCATACATAATTATTCTTATATATATATATATTCAAAGTCTGTCAGACAAGAATAAAAACTAGTTGGGGCTACCGTTTTTGTTCACGTCATCAAAATATTTCAGAAATTGTGACGAATAATCAAATGGTAACTATGTGGGATGGGTGAAGATTATAGTAAGTCTTCCTTAGAATTACGTAAGATGAAAGATGTTCAGAGGAATAGGATGTTAATATGAAAGAGCATGGAGATAAGTGTCCAAAATAGGGCTACCTGCTTTATTTAAACTTGGGCTACCGAATAATTCCATCACTGTATTACGTATAATAATAATAATTTATATTTCGTATAAACGGGTAAGTTTACAAGAAATGCATGCCATTTTTACAGGCACGATCAGTAATGTTATAAATTACAATCCTGAAGTATCATAAATTAATACTTTTTCAAAAGTTTGAATTGTTCAACTATTGTACAAGCAATCAGAACAGGTTCTTATAAATGTTAAATTGTAAACCGTTTACTAAGGTCACCATCAAAGTTGAGCGACAACCCAAACTTCGTTCCGTTTCCTGCTGATCGTTATGGTCAACCAGTGAACAGCGTATATCTGGATGAGTGCTATGCCACCACGTGATTGAACGCTATTTCAGGAAGAGGAGA